AAAGGTCTTGTTTTTAACAGTGGGACCTCTGTATCCAATTTTGTTGTTTTTTTTTTGGAGACAGAGTCTCGCTCTGTTGCCCAGGCTAGAGTGCTGTGACATCAGCCTAGGTCACAGCAACCTCAAACTCCTGGGCTTAAGCAATCCTTCTGTCTCAGCCTCCCGAGTAGCTGGGACTACAGGCATGTACCACCATGCCCAGCTATTTTTTTCTATATATTTTTAGTTGTCTGGCCAATTTCTTTCTAGTTTTAGTAGAGATGGGGTCTCACTCTTGCTCAGGCTGGTCTTGAACCGCCAACCTCGAGTGATCCTCCCCCCTTGGCCTCCCAGAGTGCTAGGATTACAGGTGTGAGCCACTGTGCGAGGCCTCCAATTTTGTTTTAAAGTTTTATTTTGCTCTATTTCAGGAGCATGCCAGTCACTATGATAAGTAATTAACTAGTTTCCTAATAGTTTATGGAATTTTTAATTAGTTAGTTACCCTACTATTCACTGGAATATAAATGGAGCTAGGCTCTGCTTTTGTTCTAGATTTTGATCCTTAATAAATTTAGATCTACTTATTCCAAATTTTTTTTTTTTTTACTTCTCTGAGAAACTTCTCTCCATACCCACTTTTATATTAGTCATTCTTCCTGCTAGCCTTTGGCAGATAATTACAGAGACAAAACACTACTCCTGGCATAGGAGAAAATATGATGGATATTTATTGAAATCTAGTCACGTGCCAGATATTATACTATAGGCTTCACAGATTTAAGGTAATGATCCACTTTCCAATGTCTGCCTCCATTCATGATTTTTAATTGATTTTAAAGCTTTTTCTATTTTTACATTAGTCAAGTTATTTTAACAATACTAATATCAATTATTGGCAATGATGTGTCAGACATAGTCCTAATTGCTTTATACTTGATATATAATTATCACAACAGTCATTTGCAATGTATTAGTCTCATTTTGTAAATAGGAAAAAAGAATTTTAGAAGAGTTCAATAATGTATTTAAGTTATACAAACATTTTTAAATTACTGAGTAAAAAGGCTAAGATGTGAAAATCTTTCAAGGTTTGGGTATCAGTATCAGTATCAGTTTGGGTTATAGTATCTGTAACAGTACAATTTAAGTAATCACAAGAAGATATTTAGGGACTATATATTGGTTACATAGTTATATAACTGACACAAATATAAAAATTATTCTTTTAAAAATAAAAGTAATTTCATCTTTAGAAAGCACAGGATTAAAATGAAATGAATTTTTTAAATGATATTCATTATTAGCAATAGTACCTAGTTTACTTACCTAATTTCTTATTTTGTTTAGGCTGTGAGGATGATCCATATTCATCTCTTCTATTAGAAGAAACAGTGACTTCATTACCCAATTGTTTCATTTCCTTTTTGTGGTCCACTGTGTCACAGCCATCAATTTTTAGAATTTCTTTAAGCATCCGCGTTCCCTTCTTTTTTGAAAATTATTCATATGGATGTGGTGGGGGTGGGGAGAGAAAAATCCAACATTAGTTTTTTAGAACTTATTGATCTTTCTTTGGAAGAGTTACGCTGCTAAAAATTAAGATGCTAGCTACATTCAGACAGAGAGTAAGGAAAATCAATAGTCAAGAACTGAAATGAATACCCACATTTCCAGTTATGGAAACAATATGTATCCTTCTGCTTAACTTTTGGCCCAGTTACCTATTTGCAATGTTTGAAAAGCAGAGGAGCTATGGTCTAAAGAGGAAAAGGAAAAAGATCGCTCAATTGCCCAAGGCAGCCTGGTTTTCCTCACAGGATGACAATAATGATGCAGCACACCAGCCTACATGAGGGAAAAATGTTTGAACAGTTGCATGGGGTATATATGCATGGCTAACAACAGAGAAATTACCATAGTAAAAAAGCTCCTACAAAATACGTACCATAGCAAACGACTGTGGTGATAAATGCTCTTCACTTGGAGGCTCTCCATGAGATGACTGTACTTCATTTTCTTTGGAGATATTCAAGGATGCTAAAAAGTTCTCAATTCCAGAGTTAGTCTAGAAGAATAAATATTTTGTGCATGAAGATGAAAGTACAAGAATACAGAAAAAACTAAGAGTTTTATGTACAAAAATGGTCATTCAATTTTCATTCAATCATCTTCCCAGGTGTTAAAGTTTGGGAAGAGAAACTGAATATATGGTCTTTTACCTTATCAATAGCATTTGGATAACCAGTCACAACCTTTTGGGTTTCTGAGACTTCTGGACTTTCCTTTCTCTTCAATAGCTTAATATTACATTTGGCAGGCCCTCCAAAAGTCTATAAAAAAGTAAGAATGAGCTTTTCTTGTGCAAATATATTTATAGTTACTACTTAATAGTGTTCTAAATTAAACTTGGAAAACTTTTTATGTGTTATTTTCCCTTTTATATTGTAAGAAGAAAAGGGGGATCTATGAACTTTAATGGGGAAAAATTACATCTTTATCTTCATTAACCTCTAAATGAGATTCAACATTCCCTTTAATTATGAATAGAGGCAATAAACCAGTGATATGGACTGCATGTTTGTGTTACCTTCTAATTCCTATGTTGAAACTCTAACCCCCAATGGGATGGTATTGGGAGGTGGGCCCTTTGGAGGTAATAAGGTTTAGATGAGGTCATGAGGATGGAGACCCCATGATGCGTAAGTATCCTTATGAGAAAAGAAATAGAATAGAGTTCTTTCTCCCTGCATGTTAGAATATGAGAATACAGGCCATCTGAAAGCCAGGAAGGGAGGCCTCACCACACTAGCACCTCACCAGATTCTAACTGCATTTCAGTATAACTGGTTTTCTTTCAAATCTTACAGTTTTTTTTTTTTTTTAGCATTAAAAGCATTATTCTGTCAGCACCTTGATCTTGGACTTCCAAGCCTCCATTACAGTGAGAAATATATGTTTGTTGTTCAAGTCACACAGTTTATTTTATTTTTATTGTAGCAGCCCAAACTAAGAAAACCACAATGGTGAGTCTAACTGTATATCAGTATAACTGGTTTTCTTTAAAATCTTATATATTTTATTCTAGCATTAAAAACATTATTCTGAGAATAATAATGTCTTTGCTAAAAGTTTATGGGCTTCACCAAAGAGGTCTATTATACAAAAAGTTTATCAATCCTTTTTCTAGAAGAAAGGAAATTATAATGTAAGAATTTCAAAAGGAGAGTCTTAAAAGTTAGGTAGCTAAACCATTTACTAGTATCTAAATATTAATTGATTCCATTTACTGAGAACCTGTAATGTGCCAAATATTCTGCTAAGACATCTTTTTATAAATTTAACACATTACTATCTTATATGAGATCAATTTTTAAAAAATGTGTATTAAAATATGCATACAGAAAAGTGTACTTAGCACAAATACAGATGTAAAATATTTTTAGATCAAAAATGTATTATTCTTTGATTATAAAATATGTTAACATATATAATCCTTATCAAACAGCAGAGGCTACATAAAACAAGACATAAATGGTTTCACCTTCTGCTATGCCAATCTAATTCTACAGAATTTACCCTGCTAGGTTTGCTATGTTGTTCCATATAATTTCACTGTGTAAGTAAATATATATTTCCATATTGTTTTACAATATATGCATAGGTCTATCTACGTGTATACACATAGACTATACACAGAGAGAGACCACGTGATCAAAAAAAATTTTTTTTTTATGCACACCACCAGAAGGATGGACATATTTGAAACTTAGACTTAGGCGGCGGGGGGGGTGGTGGGCAAGGGCAACATACATAACCTAAACATCTGTACCCCCATAATATGCTGAAATAAAAAAAAAAAAAAATTTTTTTTTGAAACAGGGTCTTGCTCTGTCACCTAGGCTAGAGTGCAGTGGGGTCATCATAACTCACTGTAACCTCTAACTCCTGGGCTTGAGCAATCCTCCTGCTTCAGCCTCCCAAGTAGCTGAGACTACAGGTGCACACCACCATGCCAGGCTAATTTTTCTATTTTTCATAGAGATGGGGTCTTGCTATTGCTCGGGCTGGTCTCAAGCTCCTGGCCTCAAGCGATCCTTCTGCCTCGGCCTCCCAGAGTGCTAGGATTATAGGCGTGAGCCACTGTGCCTGGCCAAATGATTAATATTTTTATCTCTATTTAAAGATGAAGAATTGAGGCGGCAAGAGGTAAAGCGAACTGGTCAAGGCCATCTAATTATTAAATGGCAGAATCAGGATTTCAGGTGCAACCTCCCATTCAAGTAACTGTCATCCTATCTCCAGCAACCCTTCTGTCACATACTTTACAGACTTGTTTGAAAAGGTTGCAAAATTCAAGTCAGATGCCACAGAGCCACCAAGTGTATAAAAATTGGCTACTAGAAATCTGATTTTAAGAAAGCTTACCTGCTTATTGGACATTTTTTGTGACTGACATTCAGCTTTAGGACTCTTACATTCTTCTTTAACTAGAGACAAGAAAATAGGCATTTTGGTCAATGAAAGTGCTTACTGCACAACAATCAAAATTATCAAATATTTACCATAGCAAGGCATTGTGTTAAAAATTCAGAGAATTCCAAGAAGACACAGTCTCTGATCTTAAGGAATCTATGATATAGGCAAGGGGAGAAGAGATACTTACAGATAATAATAGGGAAAAAGGAAAGGTGGCATCTGAATTGGGTATTGAAGGACAGTAGGTTTCCAAAGGGCAGAACAGCAGACAAAGTATTCCAAGTAAAGGAAATAGAGAAAAGATATAGAAGCAGAAGAATGAGTTTATGTAACTCTAAATAGACCAGTTCCACGGAGTATAATAGAGCTTAAGGGAACTAAGGAAGCAGGTTAGAGCCATAATCTGCAAAATATTGAAGACTATGGCATTAAGGTGGTAGGCAATGGGCAATCAATCAGATAAAGGTTTTGAGCAGGTAATAATCTGGTCAGAATTGTGCTTTAGGAAGATTAAAATATGGCAATAGCCTATGAGCTAGATAGAAGACAAGTAAGAGATCAGCTTGGGCCATACAGTGAGACCCTGTCCCTACAAAAAAAAAGAAGTAGATCTTGTTCTTGCTGCATGCTGGTGTTGGAGGACCCTCCCTGCTTCAGATTTACCAACAGCATGAATTAAGAAAAGATAGCTAAACTATAGCCTCAGGTCCGGATAGGGGGCAAAGGTACAGCTCGCAGAAAGAAGAAGGTTGTACACAGAACAGCTACAGCTGATGACAAAAAGCTTCAGAGTTCTCTAAAAAAAACGGGCTGTGAATAATATAGCTGGTATTGAAGAGATGAACATGATTAAGATGATGGGACAGTTATTCATTTCTACAATCCCAAAGTCCAAGCTTCCCTGTCTGCTAACACTTTTGCAATTACTGGTCATGCAGAAGCTAAACCAATCACAGAAATGCTTCCCAGAATATCAAGTCAGCTTGGTGCTGACAGCTTAACAAGCCTTAGGAAGTTAGCTGAACAGTTCCCACGGCAAGTCTTGGATAGCAAAGCACCCAAACCATAAGCCATTGATGAGGGGGATGATGACGTTTCAGATCTTGTAGAAAACTTTGATGAGGCATCAAAAGATAAAGCTAACTAAATTTTTTTTCTGAATTTTGGAAGTTGGCATGGAGTAGATTTAACAAATCAGCTATGTGGTTCCAAAGTTTTACAGACATGGAGAACATTACCTGTTACTAGTTCAGTAATATCAATATTTTATAAATTCATAATGCTGTTTGTTCAGCATTTTTAGGTCATTTGATTTTGCATTTTGCACTTCCTCCAAAAGTCTATTCTTTTGGTCAAAGTATGAAGTATTGGTGCAGTTCGAGGGTGTTTTGATTTTGATTCTTGGGTTTTTTGTTGGGGTATTTTTGGCATATATATCTCTATGTATGCATGTGGGTATGTATGTATATAGTGGAGAGCAAATTGGAAAATAGTTCTATTTATCCTCTTCCTTCCCCCACTGGAAATAAAACAAATCTTTACAAAAAAACCCCAAACAAATAAATAAATAAATAAGGAGACCAATTAGGCAGCTATTTTAGTAGTCCTGTCAAAGGGATATTGGGGGGAGATGGTAGGGGAAATGGAAAGGATAAATTTGAGAGATTATCTTGTTAGGATTTTACAAATGACAGGATGTGAAGATGAAGGAGATAGGGGTAAGGAAAGCATAAAAAGCACAGCCTGTAATTATTGCATAATATTCTATTATATTAGATATACTGGATTATATGGACATATCATAACTAATTTTTTACCACTTTCTACCACTGGACCATTTATTAAGCAAGTCTGAAAAAAAGGTGCGTGGGGAAAGAAGAGGAAAAAAGAATGTTAGAAAGGAAAGTGGGAAGGAAGGAGGTGTAAAGGAGGAAGGAGAGGGGGAAGAAAGAAGCAGGGGAAAAGGAAAAGGGGAAAGGGCACAGAAGCGAGGGAATGAGATGGGAGACAGAGGAAGGAAGGACAAAGGGAGGAAGGAAGGGTAAGAGAGGGAACAGAGAGGGGCAGGTAAGAGGAGGAAAGGAAGATAATGGAGATAAGGAAGACAGGAAGGGGAGGAAGTAATTTTATAAAATGAAGGAAAAGAAAAAGTGAGCCGACATGTATCCACATTAAACATTTGTTGAGAGACACACACACAAGGAAACTAACTGGGACTCTACATAATAACTCAAATAGTTTACATACATTTATGTAAACAATAATTTGAAGAAAAATCACAACAATGCATTTGAATTAAATATAAAAACTTTAAGCCATATTTAGCAGATTTATAGGAACATTAATCTGTATTTCACTTAAAAAGTAAAAGAAACAAAAATAACATATAGATATACAAAAAAATGGTCTAGCAGTTATAAAACTAAACCAAAGGTACCCCTGCCCCCAAATTTCTGAAAATAGCTTTTTAGAAAAGTATTTAAAAAGACTATCCTACCTGTAATATCTAAATACATAAAACACCAAGGATATATAATAAATTAGATTCAGTGCTCTACACTTGATATTTCCTCTGCTGGAATGCTCTTCAGCCAGCTTTACATAGTTCACGCCTCTCACAACACTTTATTAGGGTCAATGCTAGAATGGCATCTCAGAATGGCCTTCCTTAAAAACCCTATTTAAAAGAGCACCCCACTCTATCCTCTTAATCGGCTTTATTTTTCATCATAACACTTATTATTACTTCAGATTACATAATTTATTGTTTACTTGCTTATTATTGGTCTCCACCTTAGAATGTAAACTTCATTAGGTCAGAAAACTTGTCTTCTTATTCACTCATGTATCCCTAGTACCTAGAACAGTACCTTTCACACAATAGCTCAATAAATAGCAGCTGAATAAGTAAATGAATGAAAAACAAATGAGTAATATTTTGAACATAAAGAATAATTTACTGCAATTTGGAAATACTTTGGTCAAGGGAGAAGAACAAAATAACCATGGGATGAAAATTCTCATCTCTGTATCTGCATTCCCAACTGTGCACAGTAAATAAACACTACTGAAGAAATGAAGAGTAAAAATATATAAATTATGTAGGAGAGAATATTAACAGGGAAATATTTGCACATATTTTATTTTATTTTATCTCTGAGACAGGGTCTTGCTCTGTCATCCAGGCTGGAGTGCAGTGGCATCATCATAGCTCACTGCAGTCTTGAACTCCTGGGCTCAAATAATCCTACTGCCTCAGTCTCCCAAGTAGCTGGCACTACAAACCACCATGCTCAGCTTGTACATACTTTAAACAAAAACCTGTAATACAGTTTGGAGTAATTTAATAGGCAAGTGTTTATAAACAAAAAAAGTAACTGGGTCACTCTAAATAAAATTTATCTCAAGTAGTAATTAGTGAGGGGATATCAGGAAAAATGTCAGAGTAAGGACCTCCAAAAATTCTCTGTTCCATAAAAGCAACAGGAGAATGGGCAAAATTACCAGAATCCAAATTTTCAGAACTATAGAAGTTATCCAAAGAATTGCAGCAATCTGGGGAGTGTTTATTCAGGGAAAAAAAGCTGAATCTCAGTAAGAATAGTGAGCTTTTTGGTGTTGTAACTTGCCCTAGTCCCATTTCCCACTCTCAGCTCCATGGACCCTTGAAACATAACAGCTAGCATTTGTGATGAAACCCATAGCTTGGTACTTTCAAAATGAGGCTGGAGCTCTTTCAAAGCATTCTCAAAGAATTGTTATTTGACCTTTCTGCCAGTTCCCTGGATCACTCACTTGCAAGGCTGTCTGTATTTGACCAGATTCCGAGCTCGACCAGTGTGGAAAGTATGACTTCCCCAGAAGTCATATTTGAAAACAGTTACAGGCAATGGATTAACTTTGCAGCTGCTTGAGGTGGTGAATACAGTTGGGCAAAAAAATTAAACAAACAAACAAAAAACAACCAAAAGGCTTAAAAGGAAATGCTGGAGTATGAGATGTCTATATGGGCTGGGAAAAGCTCTGATATATTACTGGGAATCTAGAAGCCATGTAAATGCCCAGGGTTGTGTGAATGTTCAGGAAGGACCTAAGAAGGCACTAAGCTCTCATCTTCAGCTGACTTTGAGGCTCTGCACAAGCAAGAAGTGAAGGCTAAAAGCAAAGTTGTCAACTGCCTGGCTGAGTACTGACGGCATGATCTATCAAATACATAGAGCCCCTAAGCAATGATTGGGAGACTTACTGGTTCGAGGTATTTAAGGAAGTATCTGTCTAAGCATTAACTGATCACTAAGGTAACCAAGCAGAGACTTCAGTGACCATATAAGACAAAGAATACAGACTCATGCAGAATTAGTTTAGAAAAGACACTAAACCAACAAGCAACAACAACTACTCCCAATAACAACAAGCACTGGGGTGGGGCTGTGTGGGAAGAATTTGATTTCCAGAGTAAACATATTATATTATTTAAAATGCCAAGTTCTCAAAAAAATAAAAAATTATGAGAAATGCAAAGAAATAAGAAAGTATGCTTTCTAAAAGAGGTACACTTTAGATTCAAAGACATAAACAGGTTGAAAGTAAAAAGATGGAAAAGATATACCATGCTGACAATATTCAAAAAAGAGCTTAAGTGTGTATGGAAAATGTTAGGGTGTGGGCTGGTGCACATGGGTTTGAGAAAAATTTCTCAAGATAAACATTGGGATAGAAAGAAATTTATTTTACTTTCCCAAGCTGGAAAGGGCCCAACATGAGAGATGAGGAGGAAGTGCAGAAGAGGAAGACCATGTTGTCAGAGAAAATCAGGTATTCAAGTTTTTTATTTAGGAATTGTAAAAAGGGGGTGAAGATGATTTATGGCAGTAGCTGAATTAACAGGATATTCTGAACGCTGCATCTGCTTCTCTCTTCTCAGCAGGCAGATAACAACAGAAGTGGGTATGGGATGTCAAAGATCCTGTGGGTGATCTAGCCCTTAGGATACGATTTTGGGCAGGAAACTGAGGCCTGGCTTTTGCTCCCCTGGTGTTCATCCAGGGGCTTCTCAGGGACTCCTTCAGGCTACAGAAACAGATTCTAAAGGGTAGTGAGCTGGCAAATGTAAAGAGAAAGCTTTACATTTTCTTTTTGTCTTTCAGCTCTTTTCAGATGTTTGTGAAAACAGAGTCCCTGCAGGGTATCCGTCTGGTAGGGAGAGAAAGAACAGAGAACACGAAAGAGCTCATGATTGATCTTTAGCTGTTTATAAGGAAATTGCGGGATTAGGTATTTTCCTGTTATTTTATTAAGGCTGCCCCTTTCAGTGATATTAGACAAAATAGACTTTAAGATAAAAATTGTTACTAGAGACAAAGAAGGATCCTTAATAACTATAAAAGAGTCAATGTATCAAGAATATGACAATTAAAATCATATAAATGCCTAACAACAGACCCCCAAATACATGAAGCAAAAACTGTCAGAAATTAAAGGGAGAAATAGACAATTCAACAATAATAGTTGAAGACTTTAATACCCTACTTTCAATAATGGATAGAACAATTATACACACAATCAACAAGGATATAGAAGACCTGAACAACACTACAAACCACACAGATCTAACAAACATCTATAGAACATGCCACACAACAGAGAATACATATTCTTCTCAAATGCACATGGAACAATATCTAGGATAGACCACATGCTAAGCAATAAAACAAGCCTCAATAAATTTAAAAGTATTGAAATCATACAAAGTATGTCCTCTGACCATGAAGAAATGAAACTAAAATATGTAACACAAGAAAATTTGAAAAATTCACAAATATATGGAAATTTTAAAACACATTCCTAAATAATCCATGGGTCAAAGAAAAAGTCACAAGAATACTAGAGATATTTTTAGATGAGTGAAAAGGAAAACTTGATATAAAATTTATATGATGCAGCTAAAGCTGTGCTTTAAGGGAAATTTATAACTTTAAATGCCTATATTAAAAAAGAAAATCAATAACCTCACCTTCTACCTTAAGAAACTAAAAAAAGAAGAGTACACTAAATCTACAGCAAGAAGGAAGTAATAAAAATTAGAGGGAAAATAAACAAAATAAAAACTAGAAAAACAATTGAGAAAAATCAACAAAATCAGAAGTTGGTTTTTGAAAAGATTAACAAAATTGATAAACTTTTAGCTATACGAAGAAAAAAGAAGACGCAAATAACTAAAATCAGAAGCAAAAGTGGGGATATTATCATCAACTTTACAGAAATAAAAAGGATTATTAGGAAATATTAAGGACATTATATACCAACAATTTAGACAACCTAGATCAAATGGACAAATTCCTACAAGTACACAAACTATTTAAACTGACTGATGTGGAAAAAGACAATCTATAACAAGAGATTAAATTAGTAAGTATAAAAAGTTCCCATTTAAAGAGGATTGGGCACACTGGCTCATTCCCTGTAATCCTAGCATCCTGGCAGGTTGAGGAGGGAGGAATACTTGAGCTCGGGAGTTCAAGACCAGCCTGAGCAAGAGCAAGACCCTGTCTTATCTCTACTAAAAATAGAAAAAATTAGCTGGGCACGGTGACACATGCCTGTAGTTCCAGCTACTTGGGAGGCTGAGGCAGGAGGATCACTTGAGCCCAGGAGTTTGAGGTTGCAGTGAGCTATGATGATGCCACTGCACTCTAGCCCAGGTGACACCATGGAGAGACTGTCTTAAAACAAAAAACAAAAAACTTCTCATAAAAAGAAGCCCAGGTACACAAGGCATTACTGATGAATTCTAGCAAATGTTTAAAGAGGAAGAAACACCAAAACTTCCCAAACTCTTCCAAAAAATAGAAAAGGAGGGAACACTTCCCATTCTATGAAGTCAGTATTACCATGATACAAAAATCAAAGCCATCCAAAAAAAGAAAATTACAGACAAATATACCTTATGAATATAGATACAAAAGTCTTCAACAAAATACTGGCAAATCAAATCCTGTAAGCATATAAAAAGGATACACTATGGCCTAGTGGGATTTATTCCAGGAATATACAGGTGGTTCAACATATGAAAAACAATCAACGGAATATACCACATAAATTGAATAAAGGATGAAATCCACAGATTATCTCAAAGACATAGAAATAACATATGACAATATCTAACACACCTCCAAGATTAAAAAAAAATCAACAACCTAGAAATAGAAGGGAACTTCCTTACCTAATAAAATGCATCTATGAAAAACTCACAGCTAACATTACACTTAATGGTGAAAGACTGAAAGCTTACCTCTAAGATCAAGGCAAGTCAAGGATGTATACATGCTCTCACCACTTATATTCTACATTGTACTAGTGGTTCCAGGCACAGCAAGAGAAGAAATAAAAGGCATATAGAGTGTATAGGAAGAAGTAAAACTATCTCTCTTTGCAGAAGCCACAAAATTTAGGGCTAATAAACAAGTTCAGCAAGGTGGCAAGATCAATTTATAATAGTCAATTTTATTTCTATAAATAGCAATAAACAATCCAAAAACAAAATTAAGAACACAATTCCATTGACAAATATAGTTTCATTCTTTCCATTAAAAATAATAAAAGACTTAGGGAATAAATTTAACAAAAAAAAGTGCAAGACTTATGCAGTGAAAATTACAAGACATGTAAAGAAATTAAAGACCTAAATAAATGAAAAGATATCTCAGGTTCATGGACAGGAAGACGTCACATTGTTAAGATGACAATATCAAGGTTATCTACAGATTCAAGCAATCCCTATAAAAATTCAGCTGCCTTTTTTTGCAGAAATTGACAAGATGATCCTAAAACTCATATGCAAATGCAAGGGACCCAGAATAGACAAAATAATCTTAAAAAAGAAAAACAAAGTTAGAGGACTCAAACTTTCTGATTTCAAAACTTACAACAAAGCTAGAGTAATCAAGAGAGTGTGTCATTCACATAAAGACAAGTATACAGATCAGTGGAATGGAATTGAGATTCCAAAAATAAACCCCATACCTCTATAGTCAATTATTATTTTTTTTATTTTTAGAAATGGGGTCTTGCCACGTTGTTCAGGCTGAACTTGAACTCCTAGGCTCAAGTGATTTTTTGTCTCAGCCTCTCGAGTAGCTGAGACTACAGGTGTGTGCCACCATACCCATCTCTACAGTCAGTTAACTTTTCACAAGTATGGTGAAGACTATTCAATGGGGTGTGCCACGAGAATTCAATGAGGAACGAATAGTCATTTTAACAAATGGTGCTGGAGTAAGTGGATATCCACATGCAAAAGAATATGGACCCCTACCACATACCATATATAACATTTACTCAAAATAGAAAGAGGCCTAAATGTAAGATCTAAAACTATCAAACTCTTAGAAGGAAAAGTTAGAAGAGTGTAACTCTCTGTGACCTTGGATTAGGCAATAGTTTCTTAGATATGACCCTTAAAGCGCAAGCAACCAAAGACAAAATAGAAAAAAATACATAAATTGGACTCCATCAAAATTTAAAATTTTTGTGCTTCAAGGACACTATAAAGAAAAGTTAAAAGACAACCCACAGAATGGGAGAAAATATTTGCAAATCATGTATCCAGTAAGAATGTAGTATCTAGAATACATAAAGGACCCTTAAAAATCAAGAATAAAAAGACAAATAGCCCAATTAAAAAAATGAACTAAGGATTTGAATAGACATTTCTCCCAAGAAGATATACAGACAGCCAATAAGCACATGAAAAGATGTTCAACATTACTGGGCATTAATGAATTGCAAACAAAAATTACAAGGAGATTCCACTCCACACCTACTGGATGGCTATCATCAAAGAGATGGACTATAAGAAATGAGTGAAAGATATGGAAATTGGACCCTCACATATTGCTGGTACAAATGTAAAATGGTATATTGCCACTCTGGAAAACAGTTTCATAGTTCTACAAAAAATTAAACACAGAGTTACCATATGAGTCAGTGATTCCACTCATATGTATATACCCAAGAGAACTGCAAACATGTTCACACAAAAACTTGTACATAGATATTCATAGCAACATTATTTATTATAGCCCCAAAGTAGAAACAACCCCAATGCCCATCAGTGGATGGATGGATAAACAAAATGTAGTATTCATGTAACAGAATATTATTCAGTCATAAAAAGGAATGAAGTACTGATACTGTCGTCCCTTGGTATCTGCAGGGGATTGTCTCTAGGATCCCCTGTGGATGTCAAAATCCACAGACAGATGCTAAAGTCTCTTATATAAAATGGTGTGATATTTGCATATAACCTATGCACATCTTCCATATACTTTAAATCATCATTATAGATTACCTATAATGCCTGATATAATGTAAATGCTATATAAATAGTTGTTTTACTATATTCTTTAGGGAATAATGACAAGAAAAAAAATCTGTGCATGTTCATTACAGATACAACCATCCATTTTTTTTTTTTCCCATTTTTGATCTTTGGTTGGTTGAATCTGATAAGGAACCCATGGGTAGAGAGGGCTGACTGTACATCCTATGACACAGATAAACCTTGAAAACATTGTGCCAAGTGAAAGAAGCCAGCCATGAAAGGTCATATATTTTCTGATTCCATTTAAATGAAATATGAAATATCCAGAATAGGCAAATCCATAGAGACAGAAAGTAAATTACTGGTTGTCAGGGCCTGGAAGAGTGGCTGCTAACATGTATGGTGTATCCTTTTGGGGTGATAAAAATGTTCTAAATTTAGATAGTGGTGTTGGTTGAACAACTTTGTGAAAATACCAAAAAATATTTTATATTTTAAAAGGATGAATTTATTTTATGGTATATGAATTATATCTTAATAAAGCTGTTTAGTTTTTTTAAAAAGAAGCAGATAGCACACAAACACACCTTTCTAACTTAAAACTTACATTTTCTGTGAGGGTCATGTTTTCTTTGCTGATATTTAATGCTGTTGTCATTAAAGCCAGATTTATGATGTTGATTTACTTGTCTTATTTCTTGAGGTAGAACTGTACCCTGAAAGTTAAAATTCTTATAAATTAGTTAAATAAAACCTTAATACTGTAACTACTTATTTTTCTCAATTTTTAATAAATGATCACTTTATTATTTTTATAAAAATCATATAGCTCACTAGAAAAAAACTTACTACAGAAAAGTACAGAGAATTTTAAGAGCTATCCAAATTCCACGACCAGAATCATTAACATAATGACTATTACTCCAGACATTTCTCTATGCATTAGATACCAAAATACACAGAAAACAATCATTTTACAAAAACAGCACTTTCTTTTTTTCTTTTGTTTTGAGACAGAGTCTCACTCTGTCACCTGAGCTAGAGTGCAGTGGCGTGATCATAGCTCACGGTAACCTCAAACTCCTGGGGTTGAGCAATCCTCCTGCCCTAGCCTTCAGAGTAGCTAGGACTACAGGCACGAGCCACTACACCTGACTAAATTTTTCTATTTTTTGTGGAGACGGGGTCTCACTCTTCTTCAAGCTGGTCTCAAACTCTTGACCACAAGGAACCCTTCCACCTCGGCCTCCCAGATTGCTAGGATAACAGGTGTGAACCACTGCACCTGGCCCAAAAATGCTATTTTCAACAGAAAGAATTAAATCTAATTTTGAAGTTAACAAATGCAGAAACTAAGGAAAATACTAAACTTTAGGTAAACGTCTCTTCATGATAGAAATACCAGTTTCTAAAGATCCCTCTAGAATTATTTCAAAATAATCCTACCTCTTGGGTGGGTGGGGGGGGGGGGGGGAAGTGAGCAGGAGTTATAGAAGAAATAGGATTAGATATGGGCAATGTAGGGTCTGAGTATCTGTGGGTTCATTTATACTATTTTCTTGATTTTATGTTTAAAATTTTCCATTGAAAAGTTGAAAAAAATTTATCATTTCTGACTCTATGTTAAGAAAGTTGAAGATATTAGCCAATTTATATGTTCCTTCTCCCAACACCTGATTTTTATTAATATTTATATTTTCAAGGTTTTTAAATGATGAAAGAATTCACTACCAGATAGTCTGATTATAAAGTTACAGTAACTGAGACACTTCATAAATGGATATAATTAGCAAAATGGCATGAGTAAGTTTCCTATAAATATAAAGATTCTATCAAATTCTTTTGTTTTTTGATAGGGAGAAAAAGCCTGAAGGCAACAAGGGATAGCCAATTTGCCATAGTTGAAGCAGCAAGAGGAAGGAATAGTGGAGGCTGGAGAAGCTCAATACAAATTAATTAGTTCACAGTTTTGCTTTTGGCAGGTCCTATTTATTTTCTTCTCAGCACAGACAAATGAACACTGGGTAAAAAGACATATTATGTCCTAGCTGGTAGTGGGCATGCTCCAAAGTAGTTGTGATATGCAAAATAATGTGAAGGAAGATCCAATGAGCTCACATGCACAGGAAAACACCCAGGGCTCTTCAGTCTTTAAGAGTCAAAATGGCATGAGATTTCTATTATTATAGTACAACGGCTGGTGGGGTTTTGGACTATAGCAGTACATCACAGGGAGTTCTGACACTGAGGAAAGGAATGTAAACATTAGGATCAATACTATATGGTGATCACTCCAACATGGAAAAAAAAAACACATTAGGATCAACAGATGATAAGTACGAACAAATATCATGTGAGTGTCTACTACGTGCCAGGCATAGTAAAATAAACTTTGTATCCATTATCTTAATATCATTATAGCAATGCTATCATCATGATAATGCTATGTTATATTTTGAATCCATTTTATAGATGAGGCTCAAAGTGATAAAGTAATTTGGTCACAGAACTAAATAGTGGGAAAGCTGACATTTGAGCTCTAACTCCAAACCCCATACTCATGGTATCACTTCAGAGAAAATGTGTGCCATAAGTTTAATTAGAAAGCAAATATTATGGTTTTGAGTATAGTTCTTTGGGTTGTTCTATTTGATATCTATGTGAAGCTATTTGTGTTAGTCATACTGTCATGTTTTGCCAATAAAATCTTGATTTTTTTTTTTTAATTACAGTGACTTCTCTTGAATTTGCTCATCAGATGAATACCAGTCTAGGTTACTTATTAATCATCATGGATAGAAATGTTATATCTGGCAGCTCATAATTCTTGGAACATACAAGAGATACAACATGGGAGGGTTCAGCTGAAATAAATAGTGAAATAGCACCCAGTAATAGGAGCTGCACACAGAAGATGATGAGAAAATCAAGTAGTTATCAAGAAATAGCAGATCTTAACTGAGACCTAGGGGGATGCTGGTAGTGAGAGAAGAAAGAGTATTCTCGGCGGAAAGAACAAAAACCAAGGCCGGGCGCGGTGGCTCACGCCTGTAATCCTAGCTCTCTGGGAGGCCGAGGCGGGCGGATTGTTTGAGCTCAGGAGTTCGAAACCAGCCTGAGCAAGAGCGAGACCCCGTCTCTACTAAAAATAGAAAGAAATTAATTGGACAACTAAAAATACATAGAAAAAATTAGCCGGGCATGGTGGCGCATGCGGGTAGTCCCAGCTACTCGAGAGGCTGAGGCAGGAGGATTGCTTGAGCCCAGGAGTTTGAGGTTACTGTGAGCTAGGATGACGCCACGGCACTCTAGCCTGGGCAACACAGTAAGACTCTGTCTCAAAAAAAAAAAAAAAAGAACAAAAACCAAAAAAGGAACATATAACCCCAAAATGGGAATCATTTGTTTGTGGGGAAAAGGGAAAGTAAAGACACTAATCTGACTGGATCAGACTATTTTACCAAATAGTTGAACATACTTTATATGAATTAGGTAGAGTTAGATTACCGAAGGCCTTAGATACTAGTTTGAGGAATTGAGGTTGGATTCCAGTAGTACTAAACAGGGAGCCCTATACATTCTAGAGTACTAGAGCAACACTATTTTCGGGATGGAAAAGATCTCAGAGATCATCTAAATCCAATGCCTTCATTTTATACATCAGCCCACAGAGGCCCAGGGAAATAGATTTGCTCAATTTGGGTCACAAAACTTGATTTCCTGATTCTGAGTCCAATACCATACTTATCCCACTACACTGCTTCAGGGCATAAACTGAGTTCAAACCCAGGAGGTATTTTGCCCAATTATGCCTTGAAGCTAACACAAGTGAAAGGGTCTTTAAGATTAATCAGGCAGTAGTAGGTAAGAAGGACTATAAGTCAAAGAGATAAGAAATAGAGACGATAGAGAGGAGGCTAATCTAGGCCAAGGATGACAATCTAAAGTCCATTTTGGGGAACTAAGAAGGAGAAGAAAGATTTAGGATCTTCACTGCAAAGAAAAAAAATTGAGAGGAAGCAAAAATTTTTGACTCCAAGCTTTTTAGATTATATGGCTGGGGAAATGGTGGTGTCAGAAACAAGGATAAGAGGCTTTAAATGAGGTCAATTCTGGGACATCTAAAGGTTGAGATGATGGTGGAATATTCAGCTACATCTGTCTTCTAGAAAGCTGGAGATTTTGGATTAAATCTTGACCGAGAGGTTGGAGCCAAAGACATATTAGTTGTACTTAACAGAGAGCTAAGAGTCAAAGTCATTAGTCAAGCAGTAAGGCAAAAGGGAAAACAAAATTATTGTTGAGTTTAGGGGAGCAGTCCCTAGTGAAAGGTTGGAAGAGCAGGAATTAATAAAGATACTGAATATACAAGTAAAGGCAAGAAGGGACACAGGGTAATAATACCTTTTAGAGCAAAACTCCTTGAAAGAATTGCCTATATTTGCTGGCTCCAATTTCTCTGCTCCCTTTCTTAATCCACTCTAATTAGTTTTTCATTCCCATTACTATACTGAAACTATTCTTTAAAGATTCCCAATGACCTTCATGTGCTAAGCCCTATGGTTAATTCTCAATTTTCATCTTAATTGATCCCTCAGCAGCACTTCACACAATTGATCACTCTGCTCTCCTCACATCTATTCTTCACTTGGAATCAGAACACCACCTTTCCCTGGTTTTCTTTCTGTCTCATTGGCTATTATTTCTGTCTTCTTTCTCAGTTTCACCTAATCTCTTGGACTCTGTAAAGATGGAATGCTCTAAGGCTAAGTCATGGGACCTTTTCTCTGTCTACATCCTTAGATAGATAGATATAAATACATACACAAACATATACATACAGACATACATATATGATGACTGCCAAATTTTTCTCTCCAGTCCTCCAAGATCTTTAGACTCAAATGTCCAACTCTATATCTCCATTTGAATGCTTAACATACATTTCAAACTTATCATGTCCAAAATTGAACTCTTGATCTCCCCCCACAAACCTACTTGACCTGAAATTGTTCCTATCTCAATTAATAGCCACTCTGTTTTTTTACACACACCTTAAGAATCACATTCTTTATTCCTTCCTTTCTCTTTTACCCCTATATCCGATTCGTCATCAGCTGGAAATCTCTTCCAACTATGTCTAGAATTGAACCATTTCTCACAGGCTCCTGCTATCCTGGTCCAAATTCATATCACCTCTCACCTTCATGATTACAGAAGTCTCCTAACTAACCTGTTTCCACTCCGGCTCCTCTATACTCTATTTTCAAGATGGCAGCCAGAGTGATCCTATTAAAATATAAGTCAGAGATCATGTCCCTCTGCTGCTCAAAGCCCTGTACTGATTCCCTGTTTCACTGAGTAAAAGCCAATGTTTCTATAATGGGCCTGGAAGGTCATATACAATATCAACGTGTCACCTCTCTAACCACATTTTCTATAAGTCATTCTATTGCTTCAGCCACAATGGATCTTCTTTCTCTTCCTTGAGTATGCCAAGGATGGTCCCCACAACAAGACTTTTGATTTTGTCTGGAATACTCTCTCCCACTAATTTCATTCAAATCTTTGCTCAAATTGTTACTTGATCATTCTATTTACCTTACTTCCCCTCTGCTCAATACTCCCTATCCTCCTTTCCTGAAAATTTCCTCAAACTTAAGGTATTATCTTCTAATATACCATGTAATTTATTTATCTTATTGGCCTTTCCTTCTTAAAATACTAATTTTATGAGGGCCAGGATTTTCCTTTTGTTTACTGCTAAATTCTCATTGTATAGAACAATGCCTGGTACATGGTATGCACTCAATAAATATGTGTTGAATGAAAGATAATGAAAGATTCCAGAAGAATGAATTGGAAAATCTGGATATGGATTACATTTAGACAGAAAGGATTTATGGATGATCTAAGGAAAATTTATAATAGCATACTGGCAGAGGAGACCTGTGCATCTTGTCATCCTCATTCTTTATGTTTATTTTACCATCATTCCCTTTGCAATTTTCTCCTCTCTAGCTCTGACAATACTACCTTCACTGTAGGACATTAGAATAAATGAGGCTCTGATGGTATAGGTTACTGGTTTATAAATTTGACAGAACATTCCTTTTTGACCTTAGCTGAGAATATAGGTAACTAGCAAAAAATGTAGGAATTCATTCCTTTTTCCCTTCCTTTCTTTGTCTGAGTCTCTACTCTTTTAGCAGCATTTCTCTCCTCTTCTAATCTCTATCAAGGAATGTGGACTTGCTCATTTATATTCAAGATAACCAACTGCCAGCATAAAGTTATACATTCAAGTGGAAAAGAATAAATTAATAAAAGCAATTAAGGACTTTGTTGAATTTAAAATATAGTTATTATGACTTTGTGAACAACTAAAAAAACCCCAAAACTGACTTAAAAGAGAAATTATCTATACTCTGACTCACTGGACCAAAATTTTTATATATGTCTGAAAAGAATTATGGAAGTTCATGATCAAATTTTATTTTCTATTTTTTGAGATTTCATTAAAAAAATCATTGCATTCTTAAGAAGGAATACTAACCTTCTCTGGTACAGTTGGCTGAAAGTGTTGAACCTTACTGGAACCCTGTAAGGACTGCCAAATGTTGCAAAATTCATCGTCATCTTTAGTAGGTACCTAGCAAAGCACAAACAATTTCTTAAGGCAATGAAATGAAGAAATAAAGATTCATATTAAAAATCAAATAATTTATTGAAGTTATTCAGTGGTGAACAGGACATTAAACTAACTTTCATTATCTGAAATCTCTCAGTTCTTTCTAGAGCTCAGCATAATCATCACAAAAGTATTCTACTTGAGTGAAACTGGTCTTTTTCATATGCAATTGGTTTTGGATGGTTTTACTGAAAAGTATTTAAAGCATAACAAACACTATAAAAGATGATACTGAATCAATATGCCCACCAACATATATTTTTGTCTTTTAATGTACTAGTATATTATCTCACCCTAACAACTAAATATTTTATTTTAAAAATCTTCATTTTACACAAAAATAATCTAATAAATTATTATGATAAATCAATTTCATGTAGATTAAAACTCTGAAAAAATATGCTCCAAATTTTGACAGTGGTTAACCTATGAGATTTGAGAGGTTTTTTTCTTGCATTTCCTTTGTTATCATTTATTTATCTGTGTTTTCCAACTGGTCTATAATAAACATGTATTACTTGGGTTAAAAAATGTGGTTAAAACAAGATTTGGGGCCATGGAATTAAATGAAGTGTCTCACATGAGACGAATCAATTTTTGTCCCCAGAAAGATGAAATAAAGGAAATCATCCATGAGTTGCATGGTAGGGACTTGAAAATTGCTTGTGATAAATGTGATACAGTCCTCTCCTCTTCAGCTTTCAAATTTATGTCATTCATAGCTAACATAGGACATTTAAATTACGTAAGAAAAAAATTAAATGTTAATTTGGAAAGAAAACATGAACATTTTCAAGCTCCTTATTTAAATAAATGTATTTCTTCTCTAATGTAAGTATAATTTTATAAGAGAGGTAAGTATTATTGATAGCATTTTTTACTAGCCTGCTATCTTTAAAACAAATCTGGAATTGACTTGAAGCAAAACTTTTTAAATAAAAAAGGAAAACTAAGTCAAATTATGTTTCTGCTTACAAAGTTTGCTGTGATTTGTAAAAGGGATGGAGAGAAATTAAAAGACTGAGAATCTTACTTGAGTAGGAACAAAAAGTGATTGGGGGGAATGGTTTAGGTATCCTAAATGTCCAGATGAAACTGGTGAATTTGAGCTATAGTGATTCACAGCTGGTTGTGGTTTCACAATGGCTGTCAACTTCTGATTTCCAGTTTCAGAGCGACTCCCGTGAGAAAGGTTCACCAAGGCACTTGTTGGCAGTCGATAACCTCTTCCCGGTGAACATCTAAAAGTAAAAAGTTACATAAGGGTCAGAGGGAAATAATACTAAATGTATTAAGAAGAATCAAATAATTTTTGGGTTGACAATCCATCAGCAGAAATAAACATTACTTTTTATTTCAGTAGAGGAACTTTAACTCATAGAAAGATCTTACTTTATATGATACATTTCTAAAAAGTTTCCTAATAAACCATTCAGTACTTACTAAGTGGGAAAAAGCCCAGTTCTGTTCTAGGGTGTGTGTGTGTGTGTGTGTGTGTGTGTGTGTGTGTGTGTGTGTGTGTGTGTGTGTGTGTGTGTGTGTGTGTGTGGGTTGGCTTGCCCTTAAGAAGCTTGCATCTTAATTGCTGAGTATAACTGAATATTTATGAATTAAATGTCAGACTTCTTAAAAAACAACAACTGTGGTTTGTACAGTCTAGGTTATGAAAGCCCAGGAGCTACCTGACTGTGGAACCATTCTCAATGTGGCTCTTCCTAAGAAATAAGATACATATTAATATGTGATAGCTTTGATCTCATTTTTCAATTGATCAACTATTGAGTCCAGCCCTTTTTAATCCTCATTTTCCTATCTTAAAGTTCTGTGCCTGGACCTGGGAAGGCTTTAGAGACTAGTATTTGTGATTTCTTTCCTTCACGGCCTTGAAAGACATTAAAATAAGCCTTCTCTTGTCATAAGTTTTCAGCTCTATCACTTAATTTTTTCTCTTTGAGAATACAATTTTCTTTGGTCACATGTAGGTAAACAAAAAAAATAAAGAGAGAATACAATTTTCTCATATTGAAAGATAGTAGAAAAGTAGAGTTTTTATGAGAAACCTTTGTAAGTTCAATGTTGCTAGAAATATTTTCATGAAAACTACACTTACTAAAGATTCTGCATTACAGAAATGACTACACTGCAGGCATGTAATCTTTTACACAGCCTTTTATTAATATCAGTCAAGAAATTCACTGCCCTTAACTAGGAAAGGGAAAAAAAGACACTGAGAAAGAAAATATACAATTATATTAAAAGTTTATTTTGAAAGTTAGTGAACCAAAGTTATTGGTAATCAAACATTTTCATGAAAAATAAAATCCAGATTCTGCTGCTGCATGTGAAGAGTGCCAAAAGTCCTTGGGTAACAAGCATATTCAAGTTGTGAAGCAACAATAATAGTGTCCTGCAGGTGACCACCTGATATAAGGACTAAAGATTGTGATTTTATGAAATGAGGTTAAATAAGAGTAATTAATTTTTTTATTATAATTACCCATTAATCAACATAGAGAATAAAAAGAAACTAAGCTAAATTCAGTTCAGTTTTCTAGCTGATTTTTAGAAGGGAGAAAACTGGAAAGGATTTCCTTTCATCCTCCCCATAATCTAGTGAAATATATGTATCTTCATTACGGATGAGGAAATTGAGGGTCAGACACTTCACTAACCTACCCTAGGTAACACAGTGTTTAAGTGAGAGAGCTCACACTTTCTGATACACCATGGTGACTTTATCATGATCCTTATTCTTATAACTAAACTTTCTATCAGAATTCCCCTGAAAGATACTCAGTCTCACCCACATTAAATTAAAAATAATCCAACCCTCTTCTTTTAAACCCAACCTCTGGTTATCTTTTCTCCTTCCCTTCATAGTCATACTTGTCAAGGGTCATCTCAATTTCCTGCCTCCATTACTACACCTGCCGTTCACTCCTCAAACCACCTCAATCTGTCTTGAGTACTCATGATTCCACTAAAACTGATGACAAAGATTTACAGGTCACTAAATTCAAAGGATGTTTCTATTCCTCAAGTTATTTAACCAAATGTCCTTTGTTGCATATACTAGTCCCTCTTCCCGAACACTTGTCACCACTCCTTCCTCTTCGCCTAGTCAATTATAATTCATTCTTCAAGTCCCATCTTAAATATCACTTCCTCAAGGAGGTTTTTCTGGAACTCTCAGTACAGATCATTCCCTATTTATAGAAATATGCAATTCTTCCCAGTACTTGTCACATTTTAATTAGATAATTAATATTGTGATCAGTTGCTTAATTATCTCCCTCACTAAAATGAAAGCTCTGTGAGGGTAGAAAGTATGTCTGTCTTATTGAATATAATATCCCTAGTAGCATAGCAAGTATGATGTCTTATACATCCTATGAACTCAAACTGTGGATAAATAAACAAGTAATGCAAATTCATTGACCACATGGACATATTCATAAAGTGCAACTGTCATCTAGAAACACAAACCTTATTGTTAAGCCTCCGGGAAATTCTTCATCAAATAATACTTCAAAGAGTACATCAGCTTCTCTATTAGCTGTTAAAAGAGAGAGAGAGAGATAGAGAGAGAGAGAGACACTAAATAGTTATATGATGAAAATTCAGCAGATAAGTTTTTGGAGTGCTTCGAAGCATTTATTTTGAAAATTCAGGATATGATATAAAATATTCTAGATATAAAGAATGGCATAATAATGATACAATGTACATCATGTTAGCTAAGAAACAGAATACTAGTGCCTCAGAAGACCATTGTGTCCCAATTCCCAGCTAGGTAACCACTATCTTCAATTTGGCAGTCATGATTCCTATACATTCTTTATACTTTTACTACCTATGTACATATCTGAAAATAATATGGAGTATTGTTTTATTAGCTTTGAAACATTATATACATGACATCATAAAGAATATATTCTTTTGCAACTTATTTTTATTTGTTTCAACATATTTGTGAGATTCACCCATCTGAGTATGTGTTCATTCAGTTTTCTGGATATATAGTTTCCTATCTATGGATATACCATAATTTATCCATTCTCCAGCTGGTAACTATTTAGGTGATTTCTAACTTTTGCTATCACAAACAACGCTACCATGAACATCATATAAATGTGTCTTTTATACAAATGAATATTCCCCAGGGCAAAAGTAAAATTGTTAGGTCTTAGGGAATGCACTTTAAAAAAAAAACAGGTTTATTGAGGTATAACTGATATAAGTTGCACATATTTAAAGTATAAAATTTAATGAGTTTTGACATATGTAATTAACCATTAAGCCATCATAAGCAAGATAATCACTCCCAAAAGTCTCCTATGTCCTTTTGTAATCCGAGCCCTCCTTCCCCAGGCAACCACCAAAAATCTGTTATCACCATACATTAGTTTGCATTTCTAGAATTTTATATAAATGAAATCATATAGTGTGTATTCCATTTTATCTGGCTTCTTTCAGTATAATTATTTTGAGAGCCATATATGTGTGCATCAGTAGTTTCTTTCTTTTTTTATAGCTAAGAATTATTCTATCGCATAGCTATCCAGGGATTTATTTATCCATTCAACTGTTGATGGGCATAGAGGTTGATTCAGTTATAGCTACTAAAGCTGCTATGAAGATTCATGAACAAGGCTTTATGTGGATTTAAGCCTTCATTTCTCTTGGGTAAACACCTTAGAATGGTTGGACTCTATGATAGATCTATGTTTAGCTTTTTAAGAACCTACCAAACTGCTTTCCAAAGTGGCTGTATCATTTTACATTTCTGGTGGCAATACAGGAGAGTTCTATTTGCTCCACATCATTGTTGCCACTTGGTATGGTCACTCTTTTTAATTTAGGTAATTCTATTTGGTGTTGGGTAATATCTTATTGTGGTTTTAATTTGCATTTCCCTAATGACTACTGATGCTGAGCATCTTTTCATGTGCTTATTCACCATCCATATAACTTCTATGGTAAAATATGGTGTTTTTTTTTTTTTTTTTGCTCATTTTAAAAATTGGGTTATTTGGCCTATTATTAAGTTGCAAAAATTCTTTACATATTCTAAATACAAGTATTTCATTGGATTTATATTTTGCTAATAGTTTCTTTGTGGCTTGCCTTTTCATTTCTGTAATAGTGTCTTTTGAAGAGTAAGTTTTTTGTTTTGATAAACCCAAATTATTAATACTGTCTTTTATACATTAGGCTTTTTCTGTGTTATTTATCGTTACCAAATTATAGGCTATTAAAATTTTCACCTAGAAGTTTTATAATTTTACCTCTTACATTTAAGTCTCTGATTAATTCTGAGCTAATACCTATAGAGGGCGTAAGGTATAAGGGGTTGTGGTTCATCTTTTGCGTATGGTGTCTAATTGTTCCAGCAACATTTGTTAAGAGATAAATTATCCCTTTTCCATCAAATTACCCTGGTACTTGTGTTGAAAAATCAATTGACCATATATGTATGGGTCTATTTCTGGAACTAATTATATTCCACTGATCTATATGTCTATCTTTATGCCAATCCACACTGTTTTTCATTATTCTACCTTTATACATTTTGAAATCCAGTAGTGTAAATTTTCCAACTTTGTTCTTCTTTTTCAAATTGTTCTGGCTAGTCTAGAGTCTTTGCTTTCTAAATAAATTTTACAACTTGCTTATCAGTTTCTACAAAACAGGCTGCTGGGATTTTGATCAGGATTTCTTTGAAATCTATAAATCAAAACAACTGACACAGTAACAATATTGAGTCTTTTGATTCAGGAACAAGATATATCTTTCCATTAGTTGTGGTCATCTTTGATTTCTGTCAACAATGTACTGTTTTTCAGTGTACATGGATTTTTTCCCCCATCTTTTGTCAAATTTATACCTAAGTAATTAATACTTCTTGATGCTAGTATAAGTGGTATTTTTTAAAATTTCAATTTTTGACTGTTCATTGATAATATAAACACAAAACTGATTTTTGTACATTGATGTTATATCCTGCAACTTTGCTAAACTTACTTATTAGTTCTAGTAGCTTTAGAAGCTTTAACTTTACCAGAAATTATTATCAGTGTTATGAGAGTTCTCATTGATCTATATCCTTGGCATATTTTCAGAGACTGATAATTTTTATTAAAAATCTTCCATAATTTGTAATTAGGTATATGAAAGCATTTATTCTTATTTGCCTTTCTTTCCATATGACATACAAACAATATACTTAGTTCAAGTACCTACATATGACATTACTTCTATTTTGAGAGTTTTTAAAGAGACAATTAGGACATTTTGTTAAACCCGACTGGAGTGATTTCTCTGATAGGTCTGTTGTTTTTTTGAACTTTAAATGGACTCATTTTATTTAGATACGTTTATCTAAAAAGGAAACAGTTAACATTACCATAAATGGAAAATCAGTATCACTTGCCATAAATAGAAGGTCATTGTGAAAATAAATTTGATGAAAACAAAACAGCGTAATTAAGTTCTAGGTGAATTCTGGTTTTGCTTTTTTCTATTGCAAATAAGTGTTAGAGAGGTGTCAGGGGCTCGTATCAAATGGAGTCTCTCTTCTTAAAATAATTAGAATTAAAGTAGAATATAAAAGAATTGCTCTATGATCAATATTATTTAATGCACTACCCCTTGTCCCACTTAAAATCATCTCATGGACACTGGAATGTGTTGTACACTTTGGGAGACACTTGTCTAAGATATTTATGATGGTTAATTTTATGTGTCAGTTTGGTCAGGCTATTATGCCCAGTTGTTTGGTCAAACACCCATTCTACATGCTGCTGTGAAGGTATTTTTAAGATGTGATTTAAATTAGTAGATTTTGAGTAAAGCAGATTATCCTCCATAGTGTGGGTGGGCCTCGCCTAATCAGTTGGAGGTCATAAAAGAAAAGATTGAAGACCCCCAAAAGGAAGAAATTCTCTCTTCAGATTGCCTTTGGACTTAAGGCTGCAATATCAACTCTTGCTGGAATTTCAAGTCTGCCAGCCTACCATGCAGATTTCAGAGTTGCCAGTCCCCAGAATCATGTGAGTCAATTCTTTAAAATCAATCAATCAATCTTACTCTCTCCATTCTATTGGTTCTGTTTCTCTGGTGAACCCTGACTATAAAATATTTGACACTGTGCTAGCCACTGGTGGGGATTAGGGGCTACCTCCTCCGTCCCCAGTCCCTTGTTGCCTAGTTTAAACCAGGCCTGCAGAGTTCATCCATCCTCCACCATCTACTTGTACCTTTCAGTGTGATACTTTTTTTTTTTTTCCAACAAGGTCTCCCTCTGTTACCCTGGCTAGAGTGCAGTGACATCATCATAGCTGGCTGCAACCTCACACTCCCAGGCTCAAATGATCCTCCTGCCTCAGCTCCCTGAGTAGCTGGGACTACAGGTGCGGGCTACCAAGCTTGGCTAATTTTTCTATATTTTTTGTAGAGATGGGGTCTCACTCTTGCTCAGGCTGGTCTCAAACTCCTGACCTCAAGCAATCCTCCCACTCAGGCCTACCAAAGTGCTAGGATTGCGGGCGTTAGCCATCACGCATCAATGTGACACTTATATCTAAAATCCAAACCCATGAAAGTGAGGCTCAGTAAAAGGCAGGAGTTTCTCCTCCTAAGGTTTAAGGCGTACCTTTTAGGTTTCCATTTCCTGCCTGGAAGAGGGTCACTTCCTCAAAAGGTTGTTGACAAGAGGAATATTCAGACCCTTCAGGGGAGAACTCACTGGATATGAAGTCTCAGGTGAGGGCAGATGTGAAAAATATTCCCCTTTCTATTCCATGTCCATGGCAGACAAAGTTAATCAATGACAGAGCTCTTTTTGACTCACTGTACATGTAGCCTTAAAATCCTTATCACGTCAAGATTCCAAGAGGCCATTACTACTGATAGTAGTTATCAGAAGAAAGGAAACTTCTATTATCTTATCAGGACAACCTAATTAGAATACCATCAGTAAGCTCAATATTTGAACAGCAGAGGCAGGGCGTTGAACAGATAGCAGCAGGAGATTTGCTTCTTTATATCCATCTATCTGACCTTTACCATGCTAGCCCAGAGCCTGACCCTCCTTTCCTTCTCCTGCATCTGGAAATATATCCAAAAAATTAAAAAAAGAATGAGAAGAAAATTCTCTTTTAGAGGTAGGTGGGCTGGAAAGACCTGAAGAGAATCTGCATATGGAAAATGTGCAGAACCACTGTTCAAAGTTAGGTGGCAATTAGGGGACAGAGTTTAAATCCTAGCTCTGCCACTTATCTGTGTAAACATAGGCAAGTTACTTAATCCCTCAGATGTGGGAATAAGCCTACCTCTCAGGTGGTTGTGAGGGTTAAATACAAAATGTTTAAATGCCTGGCACACTGTTGGCACTAAATATGCAGTTCTCTTAGGTTCATGGCCTGCCTGTTCTTCCTCCTTTTGTGATGGTGACTCCAAAACACCGGGTGCCTGGGACATGGAAGGACAGTGCTGCCAGCACTCACACCCCTGGGTGCATGATGCTGCTCCACGCTGAGGTTGATTTTTTTTTTTTTTTTTTTTTGGAATCTGTGCTATAAAGCTTATCATTCCAGTTATCTCTTTGGGGCATATTTAGATTGTTAGCTGCTTCTTCCCTTTTTTCTCCTCTCTTTTATTTTTTTTATTGTGGTAAAAAATAAATAAAATTTACCATGGTAGCTATTTTTAAGTGTACAGCGTGGTATATTGACACTAGGCACATTATTATGCAACAGATTGATATATGTCTGTTTTACATATTTATAATTTTGTATTTATAAAATTCAAACTAATATATGCATTTAATTTTCAAATCTATTAACTGTAATTAACATCATGTTTGTTTATTTCTTCACAGAAGCTAAGAGATTACCATGGAAATAAAGGTAAAGCTCTGAGCAAGACTAGACAAAAGTCTGCCTAAGGAGAAGTGATGAAAATTTTCTATCAGTTCATGAAAACATATGTATACCCACTAAGATCTTGTATAATTTTAATGTGATATATATAAACTACCAAATTATCAGTGGCCCATTCTCAACTTCTCTTTCTTTTAATCACTTCCTAGATGATTACAAAGACTTTTCTCTGAAAAGTATAACCTAAAAAAACAACTAAAACACAAAAGGATTTAGTTTTTTCCTGATTTATAATTGCTTTCTGCTCTTATACAAAAAACACAAATTTTTGTATTACTTTACAATATAAATGTACTTGAATACATATCAAGTGTTGAGATATTACCCCCTTTAATTCCTATGATGGTGCCCCGAAGGCCAACTGGAACTGAGAAGTTCTCTCTCACGTTTACAACACGATCAAAGAGACGAAATTCTGCATCCCGGTCAGGAATGACTCCATGTTGCTGTTCTAAAGGCTGAAGAGAATAAAGCTATTAACGCAATTTTGAAAAAATTTTTCCTACTAATACACTGAAAACATTTTTGTTCCTTTCATACGTTCAGAGTAAAAGCAACAACTCTGAATTCTTTGATAGGAAACTTACTCTGTATAGCAAATGGGGCTTCACAGTCACTCGTACCTTCTTATTATTCCTTCTTTGCTGAGGAAAAAAGAAAATTTTAAAAATATTTTAAAAATATAAAATTATAAAATCACCGAACTATTCACTACTTTAACATGTCTGAATTTAAGAAAGCCAAATGAAATAATTAACTTTAAGTATATTAAAAGTTCTGCAGCTGCAGCAAGGAGGAATACAATGAACATTTATAAAATGCCTGTAGTCTAATTCTTATTTAAAAACTTTTTAAAGGAAATTTTTTTTGTGGAAGACATATAGAAAAATGCAAAATTATAAGCAAAAGTAAATTCAGCAGCCTGATGAATCTTTAAGTCTACCTATGTATAACTATACACAGTTCAAGGAACATTACTAAGCACAACATAAGAAACCCTTCCCACCTCTCCTACTTACTACCCTTCCCAAAAGTAACCTTATTTTTAACACAAAAGATTAATCTTTTTTGAACTTTTTATACATGTTATCCTATTCAAATGCTTTTTTTTTACTCTAAAAAGAATTACATACAATAGTCAACAAAGATTTATACTTAAATGCTGAAAGAAGAGTTTTCTCCTTTCTTTGCTACTTGTTAGTTCTGTGAACTCATGCTTACCTTTCCTTTTATCTTTAAGATGGAAATAGTATTACTGTTTCATCTTATAAAAATATGAGAATAATTTATATCTATTGCAATCCATAAACTACTATTCTAAGTTTTTTAAGGTGAATTTTTACCTAATAAGAAAAATTTCAGCAGTTTAATTATAGCAGCCACCTATCTTTAGAACACAGCTTATGGGAATTAGTACAAAAGGACACAAAACGATCCCAAGCTACAGAGTCCATAAACTATAGAGTTCATGCATTTATAAGCTATAAAATGCTCAAGCCTTTAAACAGCATCTATGTTCTTACATTATGAGACATTTCATTTATTCTTTCAATAAATAAAGTTTCATTTATGTGCCATGTATCGATTGATGTAGGAGCTGGGGATAAAGCAGTGTACTGTTCTTTTATTATAGTTCAAAGAGATATACAAGAAACAAAATAAGGAAAATACATAGCATGTTTGAAGGTAAAAAGCATAGAGAAAAATAAAGCAGGTGAGGGGGATAGCAGTATGTGGAGACATTGCTATTTTAATAGGTTGAACAGTGAAGGCCTTATTAACAAGGTGTAGGTGTCTATGCTCCCAGCCCATAACAGATCAGATAAACTAAGAGAGTACAATTGGTGCCCACTGACAACAGTAAAACGAAGGAATATGAGGAGAGATTTAAAGGAACTTAAAAAATTAGGCACAAGAACTGTGCCTGCAGTACCTTAAAAGCAACCCATATGCTCTAATAGATCTTGGCATTATTACATTACAGCACTGATGAGAAGACATAGCTATCAAAACCGATTCATTAGGCAAATGAGTAAGCTGAGTAATTTTCATAATAGCTTCCAATCCATACCTAATGTATGAGAAATTTGGAGATTGGCTACTCAAAATGTGGGCACCTGGGAGCTTGTTAGAAATGCAGAATCTTAAGCCTCATCCTAAGCCTACTAAACCAGAACAAATATTTTCACAAGATCTCTTGGTGATTTGTTTGCACCTTAAAGTTTGAGAAATACTGCTCTAGGGGTGGAAGCCAGAATGTATGTTTTTTAAAAAGCTCCCCCAATAATTTTAACAATTAGCTCAGTTGGGAAACCACTGTCCAATAAGAACACTACTAATACTTTTAATGATGATTTTGTATTATAAAGAAAAGTTTAAATTATCTTCAAAAAAAGTTGTATCTATTTTTTAGGTTTTTCTCTTTTTATTTATTACCCTAGTAACATTATAACACTAAAAGGTAAAAAAAATCCCTCCTAACTGCACCTTCTTGATACATTAACAAGTTTTAAAAAAATTCCTGTTTTATCTATATGCATATTAAAAAATGTCATAATAAAAATACTAGACTACAACTTTGTATGTGTACCTTGCTTGCAAAGTAAGGAGAGAATGTGCAAAACTTTAAGCAACCAAATGGGTTAAAATTTGGAAGCTTAAAGTTTTAAGTGTTTGTTAACTGGAAAACTTACTTCAAAACCAAATCTGAACAAATAGATTTCACTCTACATCGAAAGACAAAAAGAAATACAGGCTTTCTATCCTCAACTGCATACCATAACCCTTCAAATATTGAACTCTTGGCTCTGAGCCATATATTTTTTTCCTAGAGAGAAAAAGAGTCATCTAGTGAGGATTTTCTAGTCTGTAATCACAGCTCTTCAGTATTGAAAGGTAGTCTTACTAATAATCTATCTCATGAAGGAAAATAAACTAACAAAAAGCAAACTCATAGCACATAATTGCCCACTGGAAGAGAAAACTCACAAGAAAACTACCCTCTTTGTTTTGTTTAATTAAAACACCTGTGGCCTAACTCATTATCTCTAAGAGTTTCATTTTCTCAGCCTTGAGGAGCCCTAAGTGGACAGTAGGGGTGTGAACTCCCCACTCCAGCTCTCTGCCTCAGTTCCTGCCAGAACTACATTGCAAGGACTCAGATAAGCTGGCCTCACAGAGAAAAGAGAAACATAAAGAGCACCTGCAACAGCTTTGTAGCTGCTTCTGTTATCAGTCTGCCAAAGCAGAGGGGAAAAAAAGCCATTTTCACCCTATAAAACTCCAAACAGCTTTTCTTCAACTGCCTGGCACTTCCCTTCTTTTCTCTCCCTCCCTCCATCCCTTCCTTCCTTCCTTTTCCTCTCTCTCTCTCAAAAATAAACTTTTATATATCCTAACCTCTGTGTGAACAATCTTTCTTACTAGGTGCATGAACACCTAGTGAGCTTTCTACCTTTTCAAGTATGTGATAAGAAAATTTAAATAATAATATTAACAGCTAAGCATTTTTAGGCATTTTAGTAATAGCTAGGCATTATTAGAAGGAGTTTACGTGTATTAGTTTAGTTAATCTTTTTGATAACCCTACGTGGTAGGTACTATTTTATTCCCATTTTACCAATGAGGAAACTAGGTGTGGAAAGGTTAAGTATTTTGCCTAAGGTTATAAGTATTAAAAGAGAAATTCAAACTCAGGGGATGGGGTGGTGGTGGCTTCAGAGTCCAGGTTTTAACTTACTCTAGTATTATTAATAGTTCAAACAAGAGAACGCTGTGTTAGCAAAGCAATATCATTTGAATAAAAAGGCAAATTTGTGAGGAATAAAATCAAAAGTTAAAAAAAAAAGCAATATAATCAATCTATTTTCTATTGTACCATGGTTAAAAAAAAGCAATATAATCAATCTATTTTCTATTGCACCAAGACAGGGGATCAAAATAGATAAAATAGACAGGTCTATTGCAGAAGTTTATTGCTATTAAAAAGCAAGACGTAAAATATAGGAGAGATTAAGTGGGATTTCAAAAATTCTTAATAACAGAATGAGTGAATGAGAAAGTACATTTTAGAAGTGATTCTGTAAAAGTTAATTAAATTTTTATGTTCTATGAAAAAGTGTCTTTAAAGAATGCAATTAGAACAGGAAGAAATAGGGGATTAACCTTATTCTTAAACTTTCTATTCTGACTAGAGTCACAAAACATTAATTCTTAAAATTAGAAATACTACAAGTACATAAAATTTGAATGCTATGACTTTTGTATATTGAAATATCTATATATTTATTCAGATAAACTTATTTATGGCCACTGGAAATGGTTGGAGCACTTTTTAAAATTATAGGATTATGTGACACTAATTAGAATCACTGAGTATATATTTTATTTGATTAAAACAAATAAATTATTTGTAAAATAATATATAGTCCATTTAACTTCAAATTTCACCAATAATCTTGGTTATTGAAAGTTAGTACCTTGCACTTTTCCACTTCTTCTTCAATTTTCTCAACAATAGCTGCATCCAGAATTTGTAAATCACAAGAAGAACGAGACAAAGTACTGACAGGATGTCCTTTTAGCCAAGTAATAATTTCTTGCACTTTCTCAGCACTACAGTAAAAACAATAAATTTTTTTTCATATTGATTAAAATTTTGAGGGCTTATATAAAAGGCCTAATATAAACCTTCTGAGGGCTATGAATTATAAAAGACATTGAATTTATATAATTAATAATTACTGAACTTAATTGGGACTGATTATAAATTCAATATAAATATGAATATATTCCCTCTCAGTAATAAAAAAATCACAAAAATTATTTTTAAAGTATTTATTGATATAAATGAAATAAAATTTTTAATCTCTTAAAGTAAAAATAAAACAATACAAAATAAGAAACAAGGTAACAAGAAATTCTTGATAAATTAGTTATACCTTTCATTGGAACCACTAAGTTGAACTATGAGGCAATAAATACCACATATCTAGCTTACCCATTCTCATTTTCTCCAGGCCAGATGTCATCTTCATAGAAAACATCCTCTTGGCTATTTTTGGCTATATAACTGAATAGTTCCGGGGCTCTAGCCAAACAAAGAAAAATATTGCTATAAAATATATATGACTAACTTCACATAAATATCCTATGAAATAATTTTGGGTCCTAAGGGGACATATAAAGCATATTGAGGACCAATTACTATAATATTACTAAGGGATAATATTAATAAAGGATACAGAGTAAAAGATTTGAAAGTCAGAGTATTCCTAGGCCCTCAAAAAACTCCCACTGTCTGAGGTTCAATTCATAAACTTACAATAACTTTCAATTACTGACTCTATCATCCTTAATTATGATGTAAGTGATGGATAAAAAATAATATTAGAGGTTCATTTTCTAATTTGTACAACAAAACTGGAGCACTCTATAATACAGCTAAGTTTCTCCTGATATTCCTCAAAACTCTATTTCTTTCTGAGTACAGAACTTTCAGGTACACAGAGTAGATTGAACACATGTGCTTATCTTTGGTTCCTCTCTAATCCAATAAAAGGACAGTAAAGTACAAAAAAGGGCATATACCTAAAAAGGGGAAAAGAGAGACAGAGGATCTGATGGCATATATAAGTTGTTAACAAAATTTTAGAAATTAGAAACTGGATGGATGAGTGTTAACTGATTTGACAGACAAGAATAAGCTGAATCCTAAACCACCAGTAGGAGAAGTCAAAAAGAAACAAATTGGTTGGAACCATAGAACTCTGCAAAAGCTCTGGAATTATAGGCTCCAAGGTACATTTGAAGGCTGTGGGTGGAGTAAGGTTTGGTGAGATTTTAGTTGAAAATTTGTATGACAAGCAGTTAGTGTGTCATGTGGTTACTTGCCTACCCTCTCAGCATAAGACCTGTAGCTTATATCTTGGAAAGGTCAAATAGGAGATGTTCCAGCCTTGGGTATACCAGGCACAAGTAGTTGCAGGTGAGGGGGGCACAACGAGGAGAGGACAGGTGTCATATTGAAAACAGGGAATTAATGAAAGCATAAATACTATACAATGTGTTGCTAGGAAGCATAATGTCTCTAGGGAGCAGACTCAGATGGATATAAGCATGCAGGAAGTTTAGTAGGGACTGCTTGTGGGATATCAACACCTGTGGATGGGAAGGGAAAGGAAGGAAGCAGAATTGGGCACAGGGAGAAAGTTGGGCTGTAATTAACTCTTAATGAATTCCTTGGCCAATCCCACAAAGATCTCAAACCAGGATGATCCTTCAACTTGTCCTGAATTGGGGCAATCAGGCTGGCTAGGCCTTTACACCTTCTTATAGATTGGGCATCGGATCTGTGGTTGTTCTGGGAAGAGGATGTAACTTTGTGTGAGGCAATTCTCTTCTAGGCAATTCCTGAAAAGAGCTTACAGCTGAGGGCTGTTAGAAAGCAGCACTCCTGCTGCCAGGGAAATGGGTCTTTCAGTCCTGAAAAGAGATCCTGGGGGGTGTATCACAGTATTCACTAGGTAATAAGACTCCCTGTCCTTGGTTAATTTCCAGAATACTGGAAGTCAGTTTTGTTCCCGATATCCATTCCCCAAGGAAAAGGTGGGAGGATACCTCTCTGGGAAAGAAAAGATATACATATAGGTGCACTAAATGCCCAATCAGCTTGTTAGTGCCTCATTCATAAATATACACCAAAGAATCACCAGACAAGTAAAAAAAAATTTTAACATGAAAGAAAGACCAAATAAAACAGGAAAATATAAGAGCAATTTGGAGAAAACACAAAACACAAAGACTAGAAGAAAAAAATCTAGAATTACTATCTTCAGAGAAATAAAAAACATTCCATTTATTATGAGAACAAGATGCTATAAAAAAGGAACAGCTAGAGAATAAGGACACACTTCCAGAAATTAAAAATAATTAAACAGAAATTTTAAAATGATGGAAGATAAGATAAAGTTGAGGAAATTTCCCAGAGTAGAAGTATAACAATATAGACAATGGATGAGGAGAAGTAAGATAATTAAGAGGATCAAGCCAGAAAGTCTAAAATCTAATTAACAGGATTCCCAGAAATGGAGAACAGAAAAAATGGTGAGGAGGAAATTATCTAAGAAATAATACAAGAAAGCTTCTCAGAATTGGAAGGGCATGAGTTTCAAGCCTCAATGGGCTGCAGCAGAAGGAAAGAAAAAAGACCCATACCATGGCACACATCATCACATTATTAAACAGCAGTGGCAAAGGAAAACCTATATAATGGGTACAATGAACACTCTCTGGGTGATGGGCACACTTATAATCCTGACTCAAGCATTACAAAAGCGATCCTTGTGACTAAAAAAATTTGTACCCCCATAATACTCTGAAATAAATTACACAGGGGAAAATCCTAAAAAGTTTCAGAAAATGACAATAGATCACATACTAAGATTCAGAATCAGAATGGCACAGGATTTATCAACTGCAATACTGAAAATGAGAAGAGAATGGAACAGTTCTTTCTAAATTCCAAGGGCAAATAATCTCCAATCTAGGGTTCTACACTCAGGAAGTTATCAATTACACATAGGGGAAGAATAAGGACATTTTCAGATATCCAAGTTTTCTCATGAAGCTACCAGATTAAGTGCTCCATCAAAATAGAGACATAAACAAGAAAGAGTAAGGCATGAGAGCCAGAAAATGAAGGAATCCTATTACAGGAGAATGGTGAAGAGAATTCCTGTAGAGGGAAACTCCAGAACGAGAGCTGTGCAACAGCTCTACAGTGCAATCAGTTCAAACTGAAGCAGGAAGATAGAAGGTTTTAGGAGGAAGTCTCCAAGAAGAAAATGGAACAGAGAGATCACCTGATCTGTTTGACCATATTGAGTTTTACAGCTATGGTACAGAGGTTAGGGCTGAATTAGTTATGTGAACACACATAATAAGCAAATGAAAAGACAGCAAACAAAAATGGGTTTAAGGGGGGCAGGGAGGGCAAGGGCAACATATGTAACCTAAACATCTGTACCCCCATAATATGCTGAAGAAAAAAAATGGGTGTAAGAAAGGAAATGAAATCATAATATTCTACAAGGTCCAGCTATGAACATTTATTTTATTATCATTAAGTAAACCTTTAATACAGATTTAATCAAAAATTCTGATAAAACTTTAGTGAGATGGGGAACTGTACATGTGTGAGGGAATTGAGAGTGGTGGTAACAGAAGAGAGCTACAGCTCATAGTAGGAAAGTCTCTCATAGTAGGATATCCATGAATATATCAAGTTGAAAAACGAAGAAAAAGGAGTTTTAAATATGACCTTTTAAAAAAATTTGTGAGTAGAAGAAACAAATTTACGGATGGTAACATGGGATTGAATTGTACTGTTGCCTGCCTCAAAAGATAGAGAATGTGACTTTATTTGGAAATAGACTTTTTATAGCGGCAACAGAGTAAAATGAGGTCATTAGGGTAGGCTCTAATCCAGTATAACTGATGTCCTTATCAAAGTGAAAATTAGGACACAGAGACAGACAAAAAGATGAAAGATGATGTGAAGACACACAGTGAGAACACATGTGAAGATGGAGGATTGGAGTGATGCACTGACAAGTCAAAGAACACATAGGGCTATGAGAAATTAGGAGAGAGGTGCTGCTTCCTTAGTGCCTTTCAGAGGGACCATCACCCTGTTGACACCTTAATTTTGGACTTTTGGTCACCAGAACTGTGAGCAATAAATTTTTGTTGTTTAAGCCACCCAGTTTGCGATACTTGTTATGGGAGTCCTAAGAAACTAACACAAGGATCCTCAAATATAAGGTTAGAAACCAGTGGAACAATGGAAAGAACATTAAATTGTGAATCAGAAGTGAATATGCTTCCTGTAAATCTTTGTCACTAAGTAACTCAGTTCACTTTGGTACTCAGTTTTCTCATTTTTATAATGAGAAGTTGAGTCTTGTTGATTTCTTAGATCATTGCAGTAATAAAATTCAATAATTCTAGGATGGGCGTGGTGGCTCATGCCTGTAATCCCAACAGTTTGGGAAGCCAACATGGGAGAATCAGTTGAGGCTAGGAGTTCAAGACAAGCTTGAGCAAAATAGTGAGACCCTGTCTCTACAAAAAATAGGAGAAATTGGCCAGGCATGATGGTGCATGACTGTAGTCCCAGCTACTTGGGAGGCTGAGGCAGGAGGATGGCTTCAGGTCAGGAATTTGAGGCTGCAAGTGAGCCACGATCATGCTATTGCACTCCAGCCTAGGCAATAGAGCAAGACCCTGTCTCTAAAAATATAAATAAATTAAAAAAAAATTCTAGGATAGTAACCTGTCCAGTTATAGTTGTAAGACTCAGGAAAATCCACTATGCCAAGAACTGTTTTGTTTATCCATGCCAGTTCTCTTAGAGGCATGCAAAGTAGTGAATAATTTATGACAGTAAATTAAGAAAAATTTTAACTAAAAGGAGGCCAATTCTCATCATACCTTTTCTTTTTAATAACATAAGTACCATATTTTCCTACTCTATTTTAGTTAATAGCTGTGATATTCCATGACACAAAATTCAGTTTATATGTAAAATAACATTTTACCATAGGAAATATTTTTCCTCTAAAACTGATGTCAGCAAGGCAATATAAGTAGCACATTCCTAAGTTCTTAGATGCCAGTAGGATCTTGCTAGGCACTTACCTCTCTAGGTACTCTGCAAGAAGTTGTTCTGCTGCAGATGAATACATCCATTCACTTCCCACTTTCTTAGTATATCCAGGTACCTCCTCATTTTTTTTGTTGAATTTGAGATTTAAACCCACATTTGCTTTATGGTCTCCATGAGGGCTGAATTTAAAACCACAGACACACACACACACACACACACACACACACACACACACACACACACGTTTTAAAATGTTGTTCCAAGAATAAGAAGTTTTGCTTTCAATTCTTAGAAAAGCTGAGTTTTGACTGTTCTTCTATATTTTAGTTATTATGGTTATTTCCAAAGTAGCAGAACTTGAAAAATTAGAAGGACTTCAAAACCCAAGTTAACAAAGCATGTAAATAAATTATGTAATTATAGAGGAAAATGAAATAACAAGATGCAAGGAAATATACTATTGAGATTCACACACACCCTGTGATACCTTTTTTCAAGGTTCAATTTCTTAGCTGCTAAAAATAAGAATTGTCTTTCCAACCACCTAAAACATATGCCATTCAGATGAAAAATCACCATCAGAGGAATTTATGCACAATTTTAAAAGAAAATTCAGAGCAATAAGAGAAAAAGAATACTAAAATATTAAGCATTTAATCTTTATCATTTTTCTGCCACTTTAAGTAAATTTCTCTAACATAAACTTACTTTCTCCTAGATCCTCTTCCAATAAAAATACTTCCTGTAAACCTTGAAACAAGGTATCCACTCACTCCAAGGCGACTGGCCAACACATATCCTGGGTTGTACTTTATAGAATATTTCTTTAAATATAAAAACAAAAAGGTCAATTATGGAAACACAAGTATACATTAAATGTTATTTCTTTACCTTTAAAAACTGGAGATAATCAAGACATCACTAACCATTGGATTCTGGCAATATAAGGATTCTCACTTAGATCCATTTCCCCTTTTTTTTTTTTTGAAAGGATCTGTAGGCAGAATTTTTCTGCTCCTCTCTCTTTCTCCTTAAACAACAGAATTCCCAAGGATGGATGAAAGGGGGAGGAAATATACAAGACATAAACTCTACTGTAAGTACTCAATGGCAAACTCCACAGGCAAGTTTTTTTTTTTTTTAAACTAATTTTCATATTCCAAGCAGTACCTAGCAAAGAAAGTACCTCGGACAAAATGAGGCCTCAATAGTTATTATACTTAATTAAGATATAAGTATGTCATCAAAATAGTTGCTACTGAGCAAAATTAAAACTGTCCTTCATATATGGATATAAGTAATATTTTTTCCCCTAATATTTACTGTCATATGAAAGTAACCAGTATTTGTAGGCTCATAATTAATATAGTCAATGAAATGTAACTTTGAGTATTAAGGGAAGACATTATGAAGAATGTCACATTAAAAAAAAGAAGTATCAGATCATATAATTTTTAACCAGGAAGCAAATGATTCACATATCCAGCACCAAGGACAAACTACCATACATTCCTAACATAATGTACACAACAATAACACACATTTACATTATATTCTATATAAATTATATGGATAGTTTATATTCATATCAACAGGAATATAAGGGAATTTTATTACCAACAAAGGACAAATTTCAAGAGATTGGTAAGGAAATCAGCCACCAGTATTTTTTATTGATCATGTCTACAACAACCCTCAAATGGATCATTTTTTTGGTGGCCTGGAATATAAAGTTACTATTAAGATAAATAAATACATTAGTAAAGAATGTAACACAGTTTTTTCCACCAACATCATCAAATTTAGCAATAACACAATACAAATCAAGTATGCTTTCCAGAATAGGTAAGAAGAATTAAAGTAGTAGTTCTCAATCACAAGTAGTACCACTTTTCTAGTAAGTATTTGGAAATGTGTAGGGGCACATTTGGTTATAATAATTGGCATGGGCTACTAGCACTTAGTGCCCATGGACCAAAGATGCTAACTGTCCTGCCATATACACAGCAGTCCTATTTAATGCATAATTGTCCTGCCCCAAATACCAACAGTACTTCTTTTGAGAAATACTGGGTTATGCTATAATTAAAATTATCACAAATATCCTAGAAAATACAAAATAAATATCTGTTAGCCTTTCTGTTTTTGTTTGAGAAAAAAGTAAAAAAAAAAAAAACAAAATAAATATCTGAGAACATTGGGCTAGAGAAAGAAGGCAGCGTAAGTGAAAGTTAGAGAAAGTTATGTAAAGAGAAAGAAATTATACATACTAGAGGAGGCATGCCCAACAGCACTGTACACTACAAGTGGGCGGGCTCTTCTAGATCTAGAAAAAGCCAGGGATAAAAGAACAAGTTCTTCTACCTTCAGTGACTCTGAGAAAAAAAACTCTAGCTTCTTTATCTAATGAACCACTCTCCTGATTGCCTGACTCTGCTGTCTAAATTTCTTCTCCAATAGAGACCTGATCATAAGACTTTAGGGATGTCTTTGTCTTCCATATATAAAGTTTCCTCAGGGGTCTGCTGATACGTAATGCCACAAATTCATTTCACAGGATATAAAGCTTTAGATTTTATCATTTTATGGAAAAAAAAGCCTAAGTAGCAAGAAGTGGTTGATTGTGAATTAACTTCAGCTAAGTCAATTATTCAATCAGTCAATAAGAACAAATAACAGATATCAGAACCTTCCTCCTACTGTAACAGGGGAAAAGGGCAGTGAACATCTTCGGAGAAAAAGTCCTGAAAATGGACACTGTGAACTTAAATGCAGTTTCCCAATATTCTTTAGGGTTGTTGAGACTGTTCATTTTTAGCTGGGCAGAGATATACAAACTTTGCAGAAAGGCCATCTGTCACTTGTAACAAAAAAAGCAGGCTTTGAATTATTATGAAAGGTTTAAAAAACCTAAGTCGGGCTGGGCATGGTGGCTCACACCTATAATCCCAGAGCTTTGGGAGCCTGACAGGCAGGAGGATCACTTTAGGCCAGGAGTTCGAGATGAGCCTGGGCAACATATTAATAGCAAGACCTTGACTGTAAGAAAAATTAAACAAAAAAAAATTAGCTGGGAGTGGTGGTGCGTGCCTGTAGTCCTAGGTACTTGGGTGGCTGAGGCGGGAGGATCGCCTGAGCCCAAGAGTTGGAGGCTGCAGTGAGCTGTGATCATGCCACTAAACTCCAGCTCCAGCCTGGGAAACAAAGAGTGAGACCTTGTCTTAAAAAAAACAAAAAACAGAACAAAACAACAACAAAAAAACAAGAAAACCCCCTAAGTCTATTCCCAGAGGGTATGCTAATCAATGTGTCTCATAAGTTTGAACACAATCATCCATAATAACCATTATGAATTAATGATGGGATTTCAGTGACTTTTTTTCCTCTTAAAGATCTGCATAAGTTTCGAGAACAGATTCCACACTTATTTTTAAATAATACTAGATGCAACTGTGAAAGAATCTAATCATTATTAAATAAGATATTTGAAATAAATTCAAAGGAGTGGCAAAAATATCCTTCTAACATTTTAAAAGTTTATCAATTCTAAATGAAACAATACAAATTACTATACTCACATGCTGGTTCTGTATTAAAGCATCGAGATTGGGTTCACATGGAATGCTGAAAACTACACGAATCCTACCTTCTGTAATCACGTCCCCTGAATCCTGAACCTTGGATGAAAAAAAAAAAATCGCAGTATGTTTTAGCCTTTCACTACATTTTATTTTATTTATTTTTGCTTATATGAACGTATTTATTATTTCTGAAATATAGTATGATAATAAAGTTAGTGGAAATTCTCTTGGAATTTGTATGTGGATATGATAATATTATAAATTTCAGTCATTGTATCCTTGCTTTAATAGCTGTTAATCATTCCTTTTAAACTAACTTTTTATTTGCAGATAACTTCAAAGTGCCAAAAAATTGCAAAAAAGGGTACAAAATACTTGAAAATATTTACCCGGATTCACCTCTTAACATTGTAAAGCAAGTGGCTTTAACATTTGTTAATTAATAAAAAATAAAAAAATGTATGCATGCTTTCTTAAAAAAATTTTGCACACTGTATAATAACATACACATAATTATTTTTCTGAATACTTTGAGGATGTATTACATAAATTATATCTCTAATCTCTTAAATATTTTAGTGTATATTTCCTAAGAAGGATATTTCATTGTATAACCACAGTATAGTTATTAAATATATAAATTTACATTGATAATAAATTTATCTAAGCTATTATCCATATTCCAATTTGTCAGTTGACCTAATAATGACTTTTACAGAACTATTGTCTCCCTTTACTACAAAATCCAGGCTAGGATCAGATATTCCATTTAGTTGTTATATCTCTTTAGCATCCTTTAATCTGGAATATATCCAGAGCTTTTTTTTGTTTTTTGTAACACTGACGTGTTGAAGAATACAATTCATCCTTCTCTCTCCACCTTTCCTTTTTTAAAAAACAGTTCCTCATTTGGGGTTTGTCTGATGCTTTTTCGTAATCAGGTTAAGGTAATAATACATTCTCAGCTAGAATACTGCATAGGTGATGTGTCCTCTGGGTATCACATCTGGAAGCACACGATGTTCATCTGTTCCTCAACATGATACTAACTTTGATTATACTATCAAGATGTTGCTCTTGATTACACAATTACAGTTTTTTATAATAAACAGTCTGTGGGGAGACACTTTCTAAGACCATGCAAATATCCTGCTCTTGATAAAAAAATTCCCCCTAGATTTAGCTTGCAATGATGATTCTTACCTGATTCAATCTTTAGCATAATAGTTGCAAAATGGTTTTCCACCTCCAGCACTCTCTCCACATTTACTCTTGATGTGCTACTGTAAACAAGAGTCCTTTCCTTCCCTATTTATCATCTTATTATTACTGTGAAATCATGAATTATTATTTTTCCAATTGTTTATAATTCATTAATGTACGTAATTATCTTGGTACTTAAAACTATCTGAGATTTGGCCAGTGGGAGCCCTTTCAGCCTAGTTTCTGTGTTTACGTGACATGCTCCCATCATTCTTTTGAGCACTTCTTTACTTTCTGGTATAATAAGATGTTCTAGGCTCATCTTGTATCTTCCCTGCCCTAGACCTAGAATCAGCCATTTCTCTGAGAAGCCCTGGTCCTTTTAGTGGGATAGAGAATTAGAGGTCAAGATCTGGGTGTTACATGTGTTCATTGTTACTGGAGTGTCTTTGCTTCTGATTCTTTTGAGCAAATACAGCTAGAAAATATAGGCATGTACAGACACAAATACAGATACATACATATACACATATACATGTGCCTATATGCACACATATACATACATATATACATATTTTAGAAATAATGAGTTCATATCAATACCTCCAAACGTGTCCCTACAGGTTTTTCTTTTTGCTTTCTCCTACTCCATATTTGCATGTGCCTTTTTCCATGTAAGAATTGGAGTTCCTCAAAACATGAACACATTTATAAATTCACTCAACCCTATATTACACCTAAAATAGTTTCAGAATTGCTTCCTCCATACCACCACAACAAACAAACCCTAAAAAAAGAGATTAGGATTTGAATTATTTATCCCCTACCTCCTGAGCTCAAGAATAAAGATATATATCAAATACTATGTTCATAAGTTACATGGATGAATTCTTTCTTATTTTTCCCCTTTGGTATTACATTTATTTTGCACCTAAATGAAGAGAAGTTAAATAATTATATTAACTTGAAACCAGAAAGAAATTTAAGTAATAAAAACTGCAACTAACTTCTCCAGTGCAGCCATAATAGGGGGTTCCCAGCATAAAGACCATACTTCTAGGAGGAAACAAATCATCCAATGTTTTGATATTGGAGAAACGGGAGTCAAAAGCTCGGATGTCCTATGTAAAATGAAATACAAAAGTAAATCATCACAGTCAAAATTTCTATAGATTGCACATCAAGTTTTTGTCCTATGGAATTATGACTATGCTGTCTGCAAATGTCAAATATGAAGATTTTCTACATAACACTAGCAACTAAAATTTACTGATTAGTTACATGCCAGGCATGCTTCTGAGTGCTTCACACATTTATTTAGTTCATTTAATCCTCAAGACCACAGACCACAGACCATCGTCTGTGGCAGAGACCGTTATTAGCCTCACTTTACAGGTGAAGAAACTGGGGCACAGAAGAGGGATGAATCTTGTACAAAGTCATACAGCTAAGAAGCCAACTCAGGCGGTCTGTGTTCTTAATCACCGACTACACTATATTGTACCCCCAAAATTATAAGATCACTACATGTTTTTTAAAATGTTGCCCCCTCACCATATCTAAGATTATAAATACAAAAGTAAATGCCTTTTATGTTCATTAGTTTATTTATTTAAGGCAAACATTTTTGAATAACAAAAATCTAAAATTCAAGGGTGTAAGTTAAAGCTGGGATTTTTCTTTTATAGACTAAGTCCTTAAAAAAAACCCACAAAAGACAAGTTTCCTAACTGTACACACAGTGAATGAGCATGTAATACTCTTTATAAAGACTAAGGTATTTTGCAAATTACATTAAATAACAATCTCTATTATACATTGCTGAATTAGTCTTCTATTTATGAATACATATTAATGATATAGTCTTTTCTTTCTACAATGTGTACTAGTGTACATTAAGATAAAATTGAAACTTGATGTAGACTTACCTTGACAATAGTTTGATAAACAAAAGGAACAACTTGTTTTGACCACTGTTTCTCTAGACGAACTTCACCATTTTGATTTATTTGATATTTACGACCTGTGAGTAACTGAGCATATACAACTGCAGATGTTTCATTTATTATTATTCCTTTTCTTCTCAGGTAGCTAAAAGAAAGAATAAAAAAGAAATATACATATGAATGAGTACACACATATATATATTCTAGGATGATAATCATCTAAACTAATCTAATCTAAGCTACTAATCATCTAAACAACTCACAGTCAAATGCTTAAATAAACTTTGAATAAATATACCAGCAGATCTGGGTATCTAACTTAAGACTTTTTTACATTATTTATATTACTCTGTGCATGCTCCCCCACCCCACCCCCCTGTCTATGTGATTAAATGAGAATTCACAGAATTATAAGAAATTCCCGTGTTTCACATCCACTAGGATGGCTACAATCAGAGGATGTGGAGAAATCGGAACACTTGTACACTGCTGTTGGGAATGTAAAATGGTGCAGCTACTGTGGAAAACAGTTTGCCAGTTCCTCAGAAAGGTAAACGCTGAACTGCCACGTGACCCAGCAATTCTACTTCTAAGTATATCTCCACACCCAAAATTGAAACAGGCACTCTAAAAAATACTAATACATGAATGTTTATAGCAGCACTATTCAGAATAGCCAAAAAATGGAAACAATCCAAATGTCCACCAATGGATGAATGGATAAACAAAAAGTGGTCTATCCATACAGTGAAATATTATTTGGCCATAAGAAATAACAAGCACTGACAAATGTTACAATGTATATAAACTTCACAAACATGTGAATTAAAAGAAGCCAGACACAAAAGATCATATATGATTCCATATATATATGAAACATCTGGAATAGGTAAATCCATAGAGACAGAAAACAGATTAGAACTAGCCAGGGCATTTGGTGGGCCTTTTCGATCTAAAGCAGGGGCCTGCACACTAAAGCCATGGGCCAAATCCAGACTGCCTCCTCTTGTTTTAAATAAAATTTTATTGGAACATAGTCATTCATTACCTACTATCTATGGCTGTTCTTGTGCCACAGAGTTGAGTAGCTGTGACAGACACCGTAAAGTCTACAAAGCCTAAAATATTTACTATTTGGCCTTTACAGAAAAAGTTTGCCGACTTCTGATCTAAATATATAATCATTCTTCATCTAAGTGATATTTTCTTATGTCCTTTCCTTTTTTTTTTAGGTAGAGTTTCACTCTGTGGCTCTGGGTAGAGTACAGTGGCATCATCATAGCTCACTGCAACCTCAAACTCCTGGGCTCAGGCGATCCTGCCTCGGCCTGCCGAGTAGCTGGGATTACAGGCGCATGCCATCATACCCAGCTAATTTTTTCTATTTTTGGTAGAGACAGGGTCTCACTCTTGCTCAGGCTGGTCTCAAACTCCTGACCTCAAGTGATCCTCCCAGAGTGCTAGCATTACAGACGTGAGTCACTGCACTCGGCCTCCATTTGCTCTTTGCAGAACTCCTATCAGATAGATATTAGAAACTCTGACTATACTCTTTTCATCTCTTTATGCTTTTGTACTATTTGTTGAAGGAATACCTCAGCTTGATCATTTAGTTCACTGATTCAATTTTAAGTATGCCCACATGACTACTGAACCTATCTACTGAGCTCACTATTAACAATCATACTTCAAATTTTTATAGATATTTATACACAAATATATGTATTATATACTATATGCTATATAATAATACACTATATATAAAATTACAATATATAATATAGTATGAAATTATATAATGCCACATTATTATATATATTTTCTCATATCAGCTTATACTTTAATGATGTTGTTCTCTACGGTAGGGTTGGTCTAAAGTAAGTCATGTCATCTTAGCCAGAAACAGAAGTTTTCCAGCAAATTTTTGAAATATAACATTCTGGCACCATTTCTTAAAAATCCATGGGAATTCTGTCTACCACTTTCACTCAAAAGTTATTTAGCCAGTAATCTTGGCCAGCCACGGTAGCTCAGGTCTGTAATCCTAGCACTCTGGGAGGCTGAGGTGGGAGGATCACTTGAGATCAGGAGCTGAAGACCAGCCTGAGCAAGTATGAGACCCATTCTCTACTAAAAATAGAAAAAATTATCTAGGTGTGGTGGTACATGTCTTTAGTCCCACCTACTTGGAAGGCTGAGACAGAGAATTTCTTGAGCCCTGAAGTTTGAGGTTGCAGTAAGCTATGATGACACCACTGGATTCTAGCCAGGGCAACAGAGCAAGACTCTGTTTCAAGAAAAAAAAAAAGAAAAGGAAAGGAAATTATGGACCAGTCTCTCTCTCACGAAAGTAGATGCAAAAGTCCTACGCAAAATTTAACAGACAAAATTCAATTATATATAAAAAAAACAATATATCATAACTAAGTGGGATTTATTCCAGAATTTAGGGGTAGATTCATATTATAAATTCAATGAATGTAATCCATCAGATTAACAGAAAAACAGAAAAAGCAGATGATCATTTTGACAGATGTAGAAAAGATAGTTGATAAAATCAGTACCAATTAATGAATAAAAATTCTTAACCAGCTAGGAATGGAAGGAAATTTCCTTAATCTGATAAATAATACTGATTTTTAAAAACTCTACAGCAATCATTATATTTATTGGTAAATTACTTAAGGTCTTCCTCTGAAATTGAAAATGACACCATAAACCAATAAGAAAAACTACAAAACTTATACAACCCAATTTTAAAAAGGACAAAAGACTTTTAAACCAAAATAAGATATTATTATACCATAGAAATGGCTAAAATGGAAAAGACAGCAATAAATAAGTACTGATGAGGATAGAGATCAATAGAAGTTCTTACAAACTGCTGGTACAGTGTAAATTTATATAACCACATTGCAAATCTTTTTGGCAGTGTCTGCTAAAGCTTAGTTTAGGCATATGCTATGAAGCAGTAATTCCACTCGTAGATACATACCCTCAACAGAAATGTACATATATGCATTCACCAAATGCCCCAAATGAGAAGCAACTCAAATTTCTGTCCACAGTAGAATGGATAAATAAATTGTGCTATACTCAGATAATACTATCATTAGTGAAAATGAATTAAATATAACTACATGTAACAAGTATGAATGTTAGAATCACAATATTGACCAAAAGAAGTCAGGCTCAAAAAGAATACATTCTGTATGAATCAACTTATACTGTATGAAGTTCAAAAATAGAAAAAACTAATGTATGGGGCCACAAGTCAAAACAGTTAACCTTGGGGAGAGGAGTAGTGGATACTAATGGCTAGAAGGGTGTACAAGGGGCTTTCTTGGACTATGGTAATATTTCTGTTGGTTATTTTATTGTAAGAATACAGTACATAATACATGTAACATACAAAATATGTGTTAACTGACTATTTATGTTATCAGTAAGGCTTCTGGTCAGGTTTTTAGTAGTTAAATTTTGGAGGCATCAAAGATTACACATGGATTTTTTACTGCATGGGGGGGGTCAGTGTTTCTAATGCCCATGTTGTTCAAAAGTCAACTGTTTTATTACTTAAAAATGCTGACATTTATGTGATCCTTCAGCAAGTCATAATCTGTTTGCTGGTGGAAGATCTTGCCTCGGTGTTGATGGCTGCTGACTGATCAGTGTGATGGTTGCTGAAGGTTGGGTTGGCTGTGGCAGTTTCTTAAAATAAGATGACAGTGAAGTTTGCCACATCAATTGACCCTTCCTTTCGTGAAAAATTTCTCTGTAACATGTGATGCTGTTTGATGGCATTTTACCCACAGCAGAACAACCTTCCAAATTGGAGTCAATCCTGTCAAACCCTGCCAGTGCTTTATCAAATGAATTCATGTAATATTCTGAATCCTTTGTTGTCATTTCAACAATGTTCACAATAGCTTCACCATGAGTAGATTCCATCACAGGAAACCAGTTTCTTTGCTTGTCTATAATAAGCAACTCCTCATTTGTTCAATTTTGATCATGAGAAGGCAGCAATTTTATTTCAACCACATCTGTAGTTACTTCCGCCACTGAAATCTTGAACCTCTCAAAGTCATCCATGAGGGTTGCAATCAATTTCTAAACTCCTGTTAATGTTGGTATTTTGACCTCCCATGAATCAGAAATGTTCTTAATGGCATTTAGAATGGTGCATCCCTTCCAGAAGGTTTTCCATTTACTTTGCCCAAATTCAGAGGAATCACTATCTATGGTAGCTGTGGCCTTACAAAATGTATTTCTTAAATAATAAGACCTGAAAGTCAAAATTACTCCTTGATCCATGGACTGCAAATGGATGTTATGTTAGCAGGCATGAAAACATTAATCCCCTTGTACATCTCATCTCCATCAGAGCTCTTGGGTGACCAGGTTCACTGTAATATTTTGAATGGAATTTTTTATTATGAGCAGTAAGTCTCAATAGTGGGCTTAAAATATTCAGTAAACCATGCAGTGAACAGATGTGCTATCATCCAGGCTTTGTTGTTCCCTTTACAGGGCACAGATGAAGTAGATTTGGCATAATTCTTAAAGGCCTATGATTTTCAGAATGGTAAATGAGCACTGGCTTCTACTTAAAATCACTGGCTACATTAAAATCACTGGCTAACAAGAGAATCAGCCTGTCCTTTGAAAACTTTGAATCCAGGCACTGACTTCTCTCTAGCTATGAAAATCCTAGATGGCATCTTCTTCCAACAGAAGGCTGTTTCATCTACATTGAAAATCTGTTGTTTAGTGTAGCCACCTCCATCAAGGACCTTAGCTAGATTTTCCCAATGACTCACTGCAGCTTCTACATTAGTACTTACTGCTTCACCTTGCATTTTTATGTTATGCAGACAGCTTCTTTCCTTAAACCTCATGAACCCGCTAGCTTCAGACTTTTCTTCTGCAGCTTTCTCACCTCTCTGAGAGCTTACAGAATTAAAGAGAGTTAGTGGCTTACTCTGGATTAAGTTTTGGCTTAAGGGAATGTTATGGCTGGTTTGATGATCTATCCAGACTACTGAAACTTCCTCCATATCAGCAAGAAGGCTGTTTGCTTTGTTATCATTGGTATATTCACTGTAGTAGCACTTTTAATTTCCTTCAAGAATTTTTCTTTACATTCACAATTTTGCTAGCTATTGGGTACAAGAGGTCCACCTTCTGGACTATCTCAGCTTTCCACATGACTTCCTCACTAAGCTTAACCATCGCTAGCTTTTCATCTAAAGTGAGAGATGTGCAACTCCTCCTTTCACCTGAATACTAAGAAGCCACCGTACGGTTATTAATTGGCCAAATTTCAATATTATTGTGTCTCAGGGAATAGGGAGGCCCAAGGAAGAGAAAAAAGACCAGGGAACTGTCGGTTGGTAGAAAAGTCAGAATACATACAACATTTATCAATTAAATTTGCTAAGATTGTGGTGCCCCAAAACAATTACAATAGTAACATTAAAGATCACTGATCACAGACCACCAGAAATAATAATAGCAAAAAAGTATGAAATCTTGTGAGAATTACCAAAATGCGACACAGACATCAAGTGAGCACCTACTGTTGGAAAAATAGCGCCAAAAGACTTACTCACTGCAGGGTTGCCACACACTTTCAATTTGTAAAAAATGCAGTGTCTGCAAAGTGTAATAATGAGAAGTGCAATAAAATGAGGTATGCCTGTCATTCAATAAAAATTTTTCCATTAAAGTAAAACCCCCAAAATAGTTATTTAGGTAAATATTCTTAAATTCCCAAGTGGTTAGGATATTTTTGTTCATTTACTTTTGCTTTTACTTTACTTTAACTGCTCTGGGGTCAGTGTTGTAGTCTGCATTCTTTCTGTAGTTTTAAAATTTTTGCATTTTCTTTGTATCCTGCATGGAAGAGTTTATTTATTTATTTTTTTTATGTAGGATGCAAAATCTGATCTATAACTATTAAATCAATTAATTATATTATTCAGATTCTATTTTTGCATATTTGTTTTTTGATTACTAGATGTGTCAGGGACAGAGTAGCCAGATTGCCAAACTTACAGTGATCCTTAATTTGCTTCAGTCTTCCCTGCAATTTGTAAGACACCATTGATTTTAAGATATATCATTATTTTATGTACCACTAAGAAAAAAAATCCACCAATTATGATACTTGCAAAACACATTGTAAGTTCAGAGATGATAAAAAGTGAAAACATGTTTGAGAATTCACCAAATAGAGATGGTATGTCAATTGTGTTATTCAGTACATAAAAGTTTATGTTTGTTTTATCTACATTGTGAAATAAACTTTTCATAAATAATTACCTCTTCCCCTATTTATTCTTTTGGCCTTCAATAGAACTTTTTCAGACTTTTAACACTGCAATTCCTCCTTTCTTTTTATCTATATTTCTTAGTTTTTATTGGAAAGAAATTTATCACAGAGGAATACAGAAATTTATCAGGTACAGGGCCTAGTTACAGGGTTTCTAAAAATAAAATCACTTAATTTGGTACTCATGGAAATATTTCATATGTATATTCACAGAAAAAGAATGTACTCAATTTAAGAAAAGATGTCTTGGTTAGTAGGATACATGGAGATAAAATTGAGATAAGTAATAGGTACTACATCCTTGCTGCAAGTCTTAAAGCTAAGAATGGTCTGCACAAGCATCTGCTTGTTAGAGCTATGGGATCCTCACCTCATGCTACAGACATCATAATGTGCAAAATCACAAATAAGTGGAGTAAACCCTCAGGGGCACAGCAACAGTTGTTTTGTGAATTTCCTCTTGGAAGATGAAAGAGCTTGGGAGGTATGAGAGCAGGGGACAAAAAGTAAAATGATATGAGGGAGAAATATGGTGGTAAAGAAAAGCAGTCTAAGAAAATGGTGACCAGAATAAATAAATCTAAGTGCTCATGAATTCACATAGCCTTATCTATCAAACTTGGTTGATAATGTTAAATGAGGCACTGGAAATCATTCTCTTGTGTGAACTAGCATACATTACTATCAACTCCAGCAGTTTTCTGCCTTGATGGTTCTCTTTGCCCTTTGCTGCCATCATAGAAGGCCAAGCCCATTCAGAAGTGGACAAATAGAAAGGATAAGAGGTCACAATCTCTTGGTCTCCCTCACAGCTAAACCTTTTGAAGAAGTTGTTAATTTCTCCTGTGTCTCCATTTCTGCAACTCTCAATCATTCTTCCACCCACTCCAGTTTGGCTTTCAATCCCATTGCTCAATCAAAATAGCTCTTGCTTAATCTCTTCAAAAGATCTGACCTGGCTTATTGCCTTACTCTTGAAATATTCTTTTTTTCTTTGGTTTACATGATGTAAGCCTCTCCTTGCTGTTTTCCTACCTCTCAGTTTGCCTCTTTCTTTTTCCTTTGTTGCCTCATCTTCCTTAATACATGCTGCTTTTCCCATTGCCATAGGGGCTTTACACCTAAGTCTTTCCTCATCCCAAAACATACTTCTTTTCACTCTTTTCCCAACTCCTACTTCACATTTAGATATCAGTTTAATCAACACATTCCTGGGAAAGCTGTCTCTGACTAAGAAGAATTCCTTTGCAGATAAGTCAAATCGCTCTATTTTATGGTCTCATAGCACCATTCCCTCAGAGCAATTATTATAGTTGCAGTTTGACCAAAAATCACAGAAGACATTAATGTTTATCTCCCATCTGCAAGTTTTAAGTTTCACGTGTATAGGGACTGCATGTTTTTATTCATTATGGTATCTACAGTGTCTACGACTATACTTAGCAGGTATCAATATTCATATAGCAATATTTGAAGATATAAATAACTTTATCTACAGTACTTTGAATGAGTTTCTTTTTTTCCAATCAAAAGAGTCATGATTAAAACAATACCTATTCATTCAAACAAATAATTACTGAGTGTCTAGGCACTAGCCAAGAAATTAGAATAAAGTGTTGAAAAACAGATATGTTCCCTACCATTATGGAGCATACCATCTAAGGAAAGAGTTACTAATACACAAATAAGTTTATGATTATTTTATTTATGTGCTATAAAATTCAGAATGATATAAGCTATGATGGGGTATCTAATTTATACTACTGGAAGGCAAAAATATGTTCTACTTCCATCTCTTGAGATCGATGTTTATCTCTCTTATGTTGAGTGGTTTTTCACAGTCTTTGTACATTTTCCCTGTTTATTCATCTTTCAATGAGGATATTACAGCCTGGTATTGGCACCAAAATTATAGAGGAGAACTCTCCTTGAATCCCACAAAAGTTTATCAATGGATGGGGGGCTGAGGGATATACGTTTAAAACACCACTTCTTGTGCCATTGCCAGTTTCTCTCTTTTTTTTCTTTTTTCCTTATTTTCCAAATTTTGACATCATCCTAACTGCCAGTTTCTATTATTCTGTTTTGGTTTTGGGAATTCTAGTGTTTAGATGGTAAAAGAGAGGTACTATTAGGGTGGAATCATGGGACAAAAAGCACTCTGGTAACCTTGAAAACCATTTCAAGGAGGGCCGGCTTCTCAATTTGATTGGTACAGAACTTACATTTCTTTTTTTTTTTTTTTTTTTTTTGAGACAGAGTCTCACTCTTTTTGCCTGGGCTAGAGTGTCGTGGCGTCAGCCTAGCTCACAGCAACCTCAAACTCCTGGGCTCAAGCAATCCTACTGCCTCAGCCTCCCGAGTAGCTGGGACTACAGCCATGCGCCACCATGCCTAGCTAATTTTTTCTATGTATTTTTAGTAGTCTGATTAATTTCTTTCTATTTTTAGTAGAGACGGGGTCTCGCTCTTGCTCAGGCTGGTTTCGAACTCCGAGCTCAAACAATCCGCCCGCCTCGGCCTCCCAGAGGGCTAGGATTACAGGCATGAGCCACCGCGCCTGGCCCAGACCTTACATTTCTAAACCCAGAGAGGCATGTGGAGCTTGGGTGGAGGGGAGCAGAAGAAGCGGGGAGGATGAGAGGATGAGGAACAAAAAAGGATTTTCCTTCTTATTTTCATTACTTACATGTGGCCAAGAAATTCAATGTCCTTACGGTTATTAAAAATAGCTCTCAAATTCAGGCAACATATTAAGTGTTATTCCTTGTATTAAGTGATTGTGTCACTTCATTTTGTTGTACTTCCTGAAGTATTTTAGTGACAAATTGGGCAAGGCTGTAACTGCTGCTAACCAGATATTATTTTAAACTAGAACTCATTACTTTCTTTAGAACATAGGATGAAGGTATAGTCAGTATTCAGATTAACTACCATGTTAAGTAGAAAATAAGTTAGAGGATGAGTACATTAAAACAGATTCTAGGCTGGGTGTGGTGGCTCACACCTGTAATTCTAAAACTCTGGGAGACTGAGGCAGGAGGACTGCGTGAGGCCAGGAGTTTGAGACCAGCCTAAGCAAGAGCAAGACCCTGTTTCTACAAAAAATAGAAAAATTAGCCGGGTATGGTGGCACATGCTTGTAGTCCCAGCTGCTCGGGAGACTGGGGCAGGAGCATCGCTTGAGCCTAGGAGCTTGAGGTTGCAGTGAGCTATGATGATACCACTGCACTCTAACCCAGGTAATAGAGCAAGACTCTGTATCAAAAACAAACAAACAAACAAATACCAAAAAACCCAACAGATTCTAGTTCTACAATATTAAATACTTTTTATGACACTCACTGTTCCGAAATTCCTTGTACTTCTTTTGTCCAGTTAGATTGTTCTTTATCTCCAAGATGAACCACTTTAGATGGTGGAGCAGTTTTTCCCCAATAAAGCTTCTGTGTTCCTGGAGGTTCTTCCAAGTAAAACCTTAAAAGTTAATATAAAATATAAATTATATAACAAAAATGTTGTGGTTTAATACAGAGTTCTAGTAATGTGAGTCTTCAAAGTGAAAAATTTTTTACAAGGTACGACAGTAAAAAAAAAAAATCCCAAAACTGTAAGAGGGAATGGTTAATGGATACAAATGTACAGTCAAAATGAGATCTGCTGTTGGGTACACAATAGGGCAACTATAGTTAACAATAATTTATTATATATTTCAAAATAACTAAGAGTAGAATTGGAATGTTCCTAACACAAAGAAATGATAAATGTCTGAGGTGATGGACATCCCAATTACCCTGATTTGATCACTACACATTGCTTGTATCAAAATATCACATGTACCCCATAAATATGTACAACTATTATGCATTCATAATCAAAACCAAAAAACTTTTAAAAACATCAAAAGTATTATAAATTGCAGAACAAGGACTTGTTAAAAATTTTAGTAAAAATTTAAAAGCATGGGAACGGCGGAGAAGGATGAAGGGAAGTTGGCTAATGGGTACAAACATTACAGTTAGATAGAAGGAATAAGTTCTGGCGTTCAACAACACAGTTAGGGTGGCTTTAGTTAATGACAATTTATTATATATTTCAAAATAGCTAAAAGAGGAGATGTGAAATGTTTCCAACACAAAGAAATGATAAACATTTGAGGTGATAGATATCCTAAATACCCTGATTTGAGCATTACACATTGTATGCATGTATCAAAATATCAAAATACAACGTACTGCATAAATATGCATAATTATTACATATCAACAAAAAAATTTAAAAGCAAATTATTTTTTTAAGAAACTAAACTAAATCTATAACAAAAACATTTTCGGAGTTAAAAAATATTCTAGGCCGGGCACGGTGGCTCATGCTTGTAATCGCAGCACTTTGAGAGGCTGAGGCAGAAGGATTGCTTGAGCTCAGGAGTTTAAGACCTGAGCAAGAGTGAGACTCCGTCTCTAAAAAAAAAAAAAAAAAACCAAAAAAACCCTCTAAAATTCAATATGAAGTATATAATATTACCTATAAAGTATTTTTGCCAAATAAAGTTTAACCTGAATCTAATCAAGCCTTAACTTCTAGTTTATAGGAAATATGTAGGATGGAGGACCAAGTTAAATATCACAAAGAGGACACAATAGGGTAAATCCAGAATTCTACAAAATAATTGAAATAATTGGCCTAGACTCTTCAAAAAAAAAAAAAAAAGGGCAAGGAAGTAATCAACATATAAATTATGTTTCTACATACTAGCTGGAGTAACAAATTTAAAACATAATACCATTTATTAGAAAAGTTAAATACTTAGGTATAAATCTAGCAAAACATTTACATGATGAGTATGATGTAAAAAACAAAACACTGATGAAAGAAATCAAAGACCTAAATAAATGGATTGATATACTGTGTTCATGGATTGGAAGACTCAACATAGTAAAGATGTTAAATCTCCTCAAATTGATCTACGATTCCTATCAAAATCCCTCTGAGATTTTTTGTAGATATAGAACAATTTAAAAATTTATTAATATATGAAAAAACAAAGGACCTAGAATAGCTAAAACAATTTTAAAAAGGAAAAATAAGGTTGAAGGGATCACTCTACCTGATGTTAAGGCTTACTATATAGTTACAGTAATCAAGACTATGGGCCAGGTGAGGTGGCTCACACCTGTAATCCTAGCTCTATGGGAGGCCGAGGCAGGAGGACTGCTTGAGGTCAGGAGTTGGAGACCAGCCTCAGCAAGAGCGAGACCCCGTCTCTACTAAAAATAGAAAAAATTAGCAGGGTTGGGTGGTGCCTGCCTGTAGTTCCAGCTTCTCAGGAGGCTGAGGCAGAAGGATTGCTTGAGCCCAGGAGTCAGAGGTTGCTGTGGGCGAGGCTGACACCATGGCACTCTAGCTTGGGCAACAGAGAGAGACTCTGTCTCCAAAAAAAAAAAAGAAAAAAAAGACAAGTGTGATATTGACATCAAAATCAATGGAAGAGAATAGAGAACTGAGAAATAGACCCACATAAATATGCCTAACTGACTTTTGACAAAGGTACAAAAGCAATCCAATGGAGCAAGGATAGTCTTTTCAATAAATGATGCTGGAACAACTGAACATTCATAAGCAAATATATGAAACTTGATCTATCCTCATACAAAAATTAATTCAAAATGGATTGCTGATTTAATGTAAAATGAGGTAAAACTATAAAACTTTTCAAAACAAATATAACAGAAAATCCTTGGGACTCAGGGATAGGTGAAGAGTTCTTAGATATGACACAAAAAGCATAGAGAAAAAAGTTGATAAATTGGAGTTCATCAAAAAGGTAGTGGAACTGAATTTTGATGATTAAAAATGAATCCTCAAGATTTCAGACAGAAAAGCAGATACCAACAAAAGAAGAAAACCATATTGGCACTGATTTCTCATCAACAATATTACATAACAGAAAACAATTGAGAGATGTATGCAGAGCTCTAAGGGAAAAGGAAAAATGACTGGGCTTCCAAAATTCTAAACTTATGTGTGAAGAAAAGAAAAAAAAGATATTTTGGATATGTAATAACTCAGAAAACACAACATCCACCCATTTTCTCTGAAAAAAATTTACTTCAGAAAGTTCTAGCCACATGAAAAATAACAAAAGAACAAGAAACCAGGAAGACAAGGTTTATATGAAATCATGGTAAAAATGACAAAGAATAACTTGTCCAAATATTCATTGATAAAAATGACTGGGAACTTGAAAAAAAATATTATTAAATTTTTCTTAAAATAGAAGATATGTGCTTTAAAACATTAATTATTTAAATGAAACCCAGAAGGGACATGGTAAAGGGAAGGTTACCTATGCTATAAATTGTTAGAAAGATAAACATATTTGCTAAATAATATAATGATAATCACTGCTAGATAAGAAACAGAATAATTTCCAAACTATTGAAAGGAAAAGAAGGAAAAAAAAAATAACATATATATCTAAAATATCTGAAGGAATATACAATAAACTCAATAGTGATTGACTTTGAGTGGTGTCGTTAGAGACTTTCATTTTCACTATAGAGTGTAAATGTTCTTACCATGATTTTTATCAGTTAAGAAATGAATCAAGTAAAAAGCAAATATAACTTAGAAAAATTATAAATCAAATATTTCTTACTTTGTTTCTCCATCTGATACAGCCACAACTCTAGCTTCTTCAAGGTGAGGCCAATTAACAAAGATAGATTTTCCAAGCACTGATGAAGCTACATTTTCTATACTCTTAAAGTAAAAACAGAAAAGTTTATTCACATTTCAGGTCCAAGAGAAAACTTTACACAGGCAAAATTTTCCAATCTCCATTTATTTTCTTAAATTGTAAAATGAATGAGCTGGATTTGTTGCTTTACAAAGTTCCATTCAGTTGTAAAATTCTATAATTCTACTAATTAGATTCATGATTATCTTATTTTTTTCATGGTAACTGAGAAAAGTGAAAAGAACAGAAATGTCTAGAAACGGGATATTCATTGCTTCACATCAAATAGTCAGATATTTAAAACAGAACCTAAGAAATAGGATCTCATTTCAGTTTGTGGAGGTGTAATGAAAAAAAGAATACTCGACTTAAAGTCAAGAGATAATGGGTTAAAATTTAGGTTCAAACTCTTTTCACCTATGGAATCCCAGGCATATCATTTAATCCCAGTGAGTCTCAGTTTTCTTTTATGAGGATAAGGAATAACATCTACCTTATAAAGTTGAGAATAAAAGAAAATAATATACACAAAGGCTTTTGCAAACTGTAAAATGCTATACAAATATTCTGTATGAAATAATATCATAAGTAAAAATTCAAGTTTTAAAAGGAAACGGTACCATCCAGTTCAATTTATATAGTTAAAACAACAAGAACTTTGTAGTAGAAACTGAGTTTAAATACAAATTTTTATTAATCTTTTTTCTGTTTATTACCCTTAATCATTACTAACAAATATTTCTTTAACAATTAGAGATGACTATTTTTTAGAGTTTTGGGGGGTAACTTTTAATTTTGATATTTAGATATTTCTTAATTTGAACATACAAAACAATAGAATAACCATTCTGATAAATAAAACAAGTTTCAACATTAGAAATAGGCTCCCTCAATTATCCTTTTCCTTTCAATACATCTGTTTCTAATTTCACTCCTCCACCCTTTCCTTTAGTTTTTGAAGAAAAAGGGGTCTTCCTTTCCCAGATTAATCCTTTCATTTAAGCCCTAGATGAAATCCCTTATTATTTCACATAGGGTCTTGTTATCATAAACGTCCTTTCCCTCTACAGTGGCTTTAAAATCTCCTCTCTCCATTAGCTCTACCTCCCTTCTTTTGTGTGGATTTTGCTTGATGAACTGCCTCTTCTCTATGTTTCTAGGCTTCTTTTCAGTGATAAACTTACTGAGCAAAGGCTTAAAACCTGCTAACTTTATTTCCTATCTATCTAGACCTAGCCTGGTCCTCAGGTATTCTGCCTCCAATAATCTACTGGAATGGAATTCTCAGTGGCCAACATTGATGCCCTAATGGACAAATTCACAAACCTTGTTTTAGTTTTTATTCTCCTTCAAATTTGTGTTGCATATAGCCCTTGCTCCAGGCTTCTGTGATACTATTTAAGTTGGGAATCATTCTTTCTTACCTCTCTGTCCACTATGTCAATTTTACTGGTTCTTTTTCCATCCTTTATAACTATGTGTAGTTCTTTATGCTGAGACCATGAACACTCAGTGTACCATTTCTTCAGGGAAATGAGCTGAAGGCCTCAGCCATCAATTCTCTGTTGACAACTTGTATATCCCTATCTCCCTCCATGCTCTAGCTCCAGGTATTTTACAGTGCATAAACAGCCTTTCTAAAGGCTGAGGTTTTTCATCTGAACCACAGAACACAAACGAGAATGAGAACACTTTCTCATTCTCCCAAGGATAGTACATAATTAGTACCATTCTAAGTACACAGGAGACAAGTTATTACACAAAATGAATGACTTAGGGCACCAGGGCTTGTATCTCTTGTAAAACACTGGTCAAAAAAAGACTGACAGGGCAGCTCTAGTTAAACATCCACCTTAAAATTCCATCATTATTTATTAATATCATTAATCCCCCTAAACTAGCTATTCTCTATTTTAACTTTTCTAATCCAGCAAACTGCAATTATTTTATAGTTAATTAGCCTGGATATCTCAGAGTAATAAATATTTTCTTTCTCTTTTCCCCCTATATTTATTTGAACAAATAATGAAACTTGTCAATTTTATTTTGTCTTGTTCATCTAGCTCTATTGCCACTTTTTCCACAGTTTATGTTCATATCACCCAAAGCTACAACCTCTGAACTTTGAAGCTTTCCCATTTTCTTTCATTTCTTTTTTGTGCAATTTAGTCCATTATACTGCCACCAAATTACTCTTTATGAAAAACATCAATTTCAAGGTAACAGTCATAGAAAAAAAAAAGTCCAAACTCCTTAGCCTGGTATTCAAGGTCCTCCATAATCTGCCCTCAATCGTTTTTTCAACCTTATATTCTACTATTTCCCAACACAAATCCTCTGCTTCTCAAATATATCACATTTATTCTAAAAAAAAAAAAATATTAAGAAATATTTCAGATACAAAAAAGTTCAAAACGATAACATAAGGTATCCATTTATTTTTGACTAAAATTACCAGCTCGTGATATTTATTTCAACTAGAATGCCTTTCCTCTCATTCTCTCCTCTTTGTCCTAATCTATTTCTGAGCACCCAGTTCAAGACTATTCTCATCTACAAGTCTATACCAAATCTTTGGTTTGCATAGCTCATCTCCTTTTCAAAATTTCTGGAAAATTTTTCTACTCCTTGTGTCATAATTACATAGGTTCTTGAACTATTATCTAATTTGTGTAAATGTTTCTTGGCATTATCCTTATTTAGACTGTGAACGCCTGGAGTTACAGTATGTTATACCTCTTTGGTAAACACCTCAGCAGCTACAAACAGTTTTATTCATAATAAGCATATAATATATGAATTTTAAATAAAATACTTACAAGTTCATCTGATTCTGTATTCATTAAGATTTCCAACATCATGTTTTCTCCACGACTGCTTTGCTGGAATACTTGAACGCCACTTTTCTTCAAAAAAAACTTTAAAAGAATTCAAAGAATTTAATTCTTTCCCCATATTCAATAAAACTTCCCCATATTCAATAAAGTGAAAAATTATGAAAAAATAAATAAATAGCCACTGACTTTGTGTTTGATGTGTTTCAGAGTAGGAAATCCACAGAAATATAATGCCTTCTGGTCAACTTTGGTTATTTTGTTCTTGTTTATGTCTACACGCCAAGCATCTAATGATATTATTTTGTACCTAGATAATAAATCAAGGTATTTAATTTAAAATTCATACATTACAAGTGATTACAGTTTTTGAACTTTCCCTTGAATATTTTGCAAGAGTCACCCTTGCTTTTAAAGAAAGGAAAGACAATTAGTCCTTTAAGAAAAAGAAAATACAGAGCAGAACAAGCCAGCTTGTCTGTTATTATTGGTCCAGATACAATCATGCCTGTAGATTACTCAGTGCATGTTTCCTCCAGTAATTCAAAACTATAATTAATCTTTAAAGTATAAAGCATAATGCAAGTCTCTATATCTTCCATGTTCCAAAACCCAGGATGGAAGATAAACATTTCATCTTTTTCTTTGTTTTATGAAGGGAAAAATAATAACTGAGAGATGTTCACTCTATTTGCAACTCAATTGCCATCTGGGTAGATTATGTGCAGGGAAGACAAGAGAAGTAACAAGGAAGACATTTTAATGAGCAAGAGAAAGAAAAAATGGGCTTGAGGTAAGAAAATAGAGGGACTTCTTTATTCCTTTTTTTCTTCTTTCTTATTGGGTGATGGGGGCTATAAAAGTCAAAGTCATAGCATATCAAATAATGCTGAGAGATGAGACATTGACAATGGAAACAAAAATTCACATATCCACTTGAGGGAGACAAAGGGCAAAGACATACATTAGGGAGAAAAAAAATACGAACAACTTTAACAGAAGAAGAAAAGAGAGAAGTAGAATCTGACCAAAGTGAAGAATTATAGAAACAAGTGTGAGAGATGATTAGATCCTTAATTATCAATTGACTATAACTGTCATAAAGTATTTGTTAATTCTCTGAATAGATATTCAAAGCTTTTTTTTGTTTGGTGTTGGGGGGCTCTTCTGTCACTGAAAAATTACCAAGTAACATTACCTTGTACAACATCGTTCTATGGCAGGGAACTTTTCTGACCATGGAGAAGGATAGGTGAACTCTGTGTCTCTGTCATACCAGCACATTAGGCACTCACTATGTTGGTTTCTTTTCCTCTCTTCCTTTTTGAGGGAGTGGTTACATGACTCCATGGCTTCCAACAGTCGTTTCTAAATACAAAGATTGAAGAGAAGGGTTAAAAGTATGAAAATTTTGTAATTTCAACATACAGAATAAATCGTTTCCTACCATATTCTGAATCACTATGTTCTTGGGAAAAAAAAATCTTAATTAATGAAACTCTGCCATTTTATTACATAGAAAAATGATATGCTATTTATTGCTTTAAAGAGCCCTAGAATATTCTTGCCACTGCAAATTCCTCTGAAGCTACTACCCCAACAGTAGCCACTAAGAACAGCAGAAAAAATCAAATTTTAAATGTGACGTTATTACAATTATTAGATCATAATTTATAGAGCATTAATCTCTTACTTTACAAATTCTGCAGTGGTATAGTAACATCCATCTTTTCAGATTAACTTATATATTTAACATAGTTCCAATCACAATATTAATGGTTTAAAATATTAAAAAAAAAAAAAAAATGATGTCAGTGTTCATATGGAAGAATGAATGCGTGACCAGCAAAAAGTCACTGGGGACTTGTCTTAGTAGATATTATCACTTTTTATAAAGCTACTGTAATCAAAATACTTTAGTATTGGCACTACAAGAGACTCAAAGACAAGAACAGAATACAGTACAACAGATCCAAATCTATGTCAAAACATAGTATTTCTAATATTTAAATAATGATACTGTTACAATTAGCTATCTAGCTGGAAAAAAAGCATGTACATTTCCAAATTTCATATCATATAACAAGTATCACAATAATAAAACAATAAAAGTATCAGGAAAAAAATCTAGGTGAGTACTGATCATTTGGAGTGATACACTCTTATTTAGCAAGACATAAAAAAATTTATCAGCCTTAAGGGAAAATATATTTTTAAGTAAAGAAAATGTACATAACAGAAGATGCCACATACAAATAAATCAAGAGAAAAATGCGATACTGGAAAAACTACTGCTAATGTACGAAGTAGCTAAAAAAAAAAAAAAAAGAAATGGGGAGCGAATATAAACAGGCAAGTTACAGAAGAGAAAATGCAATGGGTAAACATATATAAAAATGTACTCAACAAAAAAAGACAGATAGACCAATGCAACAAAAGAGAGAGCCCAGAAATAAATTCATGATTTATAGTCAACTGATCTTTGACAAAGGTGTCAACAACACACAATATGGAAAGAAAGGATAGTCTCTTCAATAATTGGTGTGGGACAACTAAATGTCCACATGCAGAAAAATGAAACTGGACTGTTATCTTAGAGAATATACAAAATCAACTCAAAATGGATAAAAGACTTAAACATTAAGACCTTATATTATAAAACTACTACTAGAACAAAACACAAGGAAAAAGCCTCTTGACACTGGTCTATGCAATAATTTTTCGGATAGAACTGGTCACATGGCTGAATTAATGAAGTTACATTTGGGGGAAAGAACATGGCATAAACATTATTTTTGGTGAGAATTTCAGCTGAAAGATGAGCAGAACAAATGTCAAGTAATAACGAATTCTTGCAGTTGTTACCTAGTCAGCTTCTTTGCAGTGAGCGAAAGTTACTGATACAAAATGTTTGTGAAACCAATCTGAAAAGATGTCCCTGGTGATCCATGCCTTTTTGTTAGCATAATAATGGACTAGCAAGCAATTCACTCCTTGAAAACAGCAAGGATGAAAGCTTTTGCTCATCACAGCAAGTTAAACTTAACGTGCACCTGCTGCATAAGTACATTCCAGCATAGTTATTCTGTTCTTGGCTTCCTTAATTCCCGTAGGCACTGTCTTATCAGCTGTACTCAGTGTCTTTCTCGGGCAGTATCACTGAAATAGTGATGTTCAGTCAGCATTAGACTTGTTTTGATGTCAGGTATTCATCAACAATGACCTTGACAAACTTGGCAATGAATTTCTTTGCTGCTTTGTGATAAGCAGATGCTTTATCACACCAAACCTTTTAAAATTCAATGCTGTGTCTTTTCTTAAATTTCTGCAACAAGTCTGTTTAATGCTCACAGTTTTGTTCAATTTTCAGATCTCTGTGATAGATCTTTGCTCATTTCATTATCTGCATACCATTCAGTGGCATGTATTCACTGTAGTGCTGATGGATACAATCTTTCAATATGCAATTGATACCTTCATTTTCAGCTTTACACAGTATTTTTCTATTTTTCATTAACTTCTGATCATCACTTTCAGCACAGAACTTCAACAACTTATCCTTCTACGTCTTCAGGTCATATTTGGTGGTCATTCCATTTCAAAACCCTAATTTTCTGTAAGATATTTCACACTTACACCACTGTCCAGTTTCTCCAATAGCTTGACTTTTTGTGCTGTAAGTAAACATAAATGTTTCCTCTTTTTCTTATCACTGTTATCCACAGAGGTATCTGTAGGCCTTTTTGACATTTTCATGAGTATCTTCACACCACAGAGCAAAGAATAAGCAAAAAACCAGGGAGTGATGCATGTAGGTCTTGGGGAACCTGTCAATGCGTGTCTGGCCTGCACATGTGCCATTTTATCACCCTTTAAGGGTGTGCTTGTGTGCGGGAATCTGGGTGTGTGCGGAAAAGACAGATCATGGGTGAAAGGGGCTTTTTTCCCTTAGGAATGCTGAATAAACTGTGTGTTGTGCACCTGTGTTTTGACTGTGACCCTTCCCATGAGGTCAAGTGTAGAATTTTCAATTTGTGGCATCATATCAGCACCCAAAAACTTTGGATTTTGGAGCATTTCAAATTTGGGGTTTTCAGATTAGGGATGGTTAACCTATACCACAATACGTTTACCCATTCTCCTGTTGATGGGCATTGGGTTGTTTCCAGGTCTTAATTACTATGAATATTCTTGTACAAGACTGTTTTTAAACATACTTTCCTCCCTACTCTTGGTAATTACCTAAGAATGGAATCATTGGGTCCTAGGATAACTGTATGATTAACTTTATGAGAAACTACCAGGTAGACATGCAAAGGGCTTGTACCATTTTATACTTCCACTATTAGTGTATGAAAATCTCAGGCTGGGAGTGGTGGCTCACATCTGTAATCTCAGCACTTTGGGAGGCTGAAGCGGGAGGATCACTTGAGCCCAAGAATTCAAGTCTAGCCTGGGCAACAAAGTGAGTCTCTACAAAAAAAAACAAAAGAAAGAAAGAAAAGAAAATTTCACTTGCTTCACATTCTCACCAATATTTGGTACTGTCTGTCTTTTAATTTTTTTTTTTTTTTAAGAGATGCGGTCTCACCCTGTCACCCAGGTTGTAGTGGCATGATTATAGCTCACCATAGTCTTAAACTCTTGGCACATACCAGTACACCTGGCCAATTTAAAAATTTTTTTTATAGACAGAGTCTCATTATATTGCCCCAGGCTTATGTCAAACTCATGGTCTCATGAGATCCTCTCATTTCAGCCTCCTGAGTAGCTGGGATTATAGGCATAAGCCACTATGCCTGGCTAGTCTTTTAATTTTTTTCCCATTCTACTGGGAATATAATATAGTGGTATCTCTTTTTTTTTTAATTTACATTTCCCTGATGGCTAATGATATTGAGCACTTTTTCATGTCCTTGTTATTTATATATCTAGCTTTGTGAAATGGCCTTCAAATATTTTGCCCACTTTCACAATTAGTTTCTCTGTCTTTTCACTATTGAGTTGGAGAAGTTGTTTATATATTCTGGATACCAATTCTATGCACATATAAGACACCAGTCTGTGGCTTATCAGCTCATTTTTTAACAGTGTCTTTTTTTTTTCTTTGTTCATTCTTTTGAGACAGGGCCTCACTCTATTGCCCAGGCTGGAGTACAGTGGTGCAACCACAATTCACTGCAGCCTCCAACTCCTAAGCTGAAGGGATCCTCCTGTCTCAGCCTTCCAGTAGCTAGGACTGCAGGCTTGCGCCATTATGCCTGGGTAAGTTTTAAAATATTTTTGTAGAGATAGGGTCTCACTGTGTTGACAAGGCTGGTCTCAAACTCCTAGCTTCAAATGATCCTCCTGTTTTGGCCTCCTGAAGTTCTGGGATTATAGACATGAGCCACTGCATCCAGCCTTAACAGTGTCTTTTGATAAGCACAAGTTTTAAAAATTCTGGTGAAATCTATTTTCTCAATTTTTTCCTTTTATGGTTATTGCTTTCTGAATTTTCATTTAAATTCTCCTGAGTTTGCTTCCAGAAATTTTATAGTTTTAGCTTTTACATTTAGATCTATGATATATTTTGAATTAAGTTTTGTGTATGGTATGAAAATACAGGTCAAGATTCACCTTTCTCTATCCACATAGCCAGATGTTCCAGCACAAATTATTGAAAAGCTCTTTCTTTACCCATCAAATTGCCTTGGTGCCTTAACTGAAGATGAATTAACTTCACAGGTATATATCTATGTGTGGACTCTTTCTGTTCTAATTGATCCATTACTACACCAATAACAATATACTATCTTGATTACTGTAGCTTCATGTTATGTCTTAAAACCAAGTCATGTTAAGTCCTCCAACATTGTTCATTGTTGTCTTGGCTATTCTCCTTTGCAATTTTATAAAAACTTTAGAATCAAATTTCCATTTTCTACATAAAAACTTGCTGGGATTTTCAGTGGATTATGTTGAGTTTGAAGATCAACCTGGGAATAATTTATATCTCAACAACAGTAAATCTTCTAATCCATGAACATGGTATATCACTTCATTTATTTAGGTTTTCTATCTCTCAACACTGTACGTAGTTTTCAGGGTAGAGGGCTTGATCATATGTTATAAAATTTATAGCTGTATATTTTATAGTTTTAATGCTATTTTAAGTAAAATTTTAAAAACTGTTAATTTTCCAATGGTTTGTTGTATACAATTAGCTTTTATATTAGTATTTTGTAAATACTAATGCCACGTGCAAATAAAGAGAATTTCACTTCTGCCTTTCTGATCTGCATGCCTTTTACTTCTTTTTTTCAACTTGACTTCCAGTAAAATTTGAGAGAGAAGTAGTTAGAATGGATATCTTTGTCCTATTCTTGATTTTACAGAGAAAATGGTCATTCTTTTACTACTAAGTATGTTGTTTGAAGTAGGATTTTTTTATATGCCCCTTATCAAGTTGAGGAAGTTTCCTATTATTCCCAGTTTGTTTCCATTAAAATTGGATGTTGAATATTGATAGTGTGGCAAGTTACATTGCAAACTAACCTTGTTTTTCTGAAATAAATCCCATTTGGTCATGAGTATTATGCTTTTTATATATTGCCAGATTCTATCTTGTGTTATTTTCTTAAGAGTTTTTGCATCTACTTTTAAGGGGGATATCAGTCAGTAATTTTCTTTTCTTATAATGCCACTATTTAGTTTGGGTATCTGGAATATACTGGTATAAAATGTTGGGAAGTGATCCCCTTCTTTTATTTTCTGAAAGTTTATGTAAGATTGGTATTATTTCTTTCCCAAATGTTTGCTAGAATTCACAAGTGGAAACATCGGGGTCTAGTAGATATAAGACTATTCAGATTTTTGTATCTCTGTCAGTTTTGCTAAGTTGTGATAAATGTATTCATTTTATCTAGGCTGTTGAATTGATGGCATAAAGTTGATCATAGTATTTCTTAACCATCCCTTTACTATATGTGAGATCTATAAGTTGTCTCCTCTTTCATTTCTACTATTGGTAATTTATGTGTCTCCCCCCTTTTTTGTTTGTTTGTTTTTCTACTTTCCTGGTCAGTCTAGCTAGGATTTGTCAATTTTATTAATCTTTTCAAAGGACCAACTTTTCATTTCATTAACTTTTCTCTATTATTTATTCATTTTCCATGAATTTCTGCTCTTATCTTTATTCTGCTATTGTTCTCCTTAGTTTGGGTTTAATTTGTTCTTTTTTTCCTAGCTTAAGGGAGAAGCTTAGATCATTTATTTTATTTTATTTTTATTTTTTTGAGACAGAGTCTCACTCTTTTGCCCGGGCTAGAGTGCCGTGGCATCAGACTAGTTCACAGCAACCTCAAACTCCTGGGCTTAAGCAATCCTGTCTCAGCCTCCCAAGTAGCTGGGACTACAGGCATGCACCACCATGTCCAGCTAATTTTTTCTATATATATATTTTAATTGTCCAGCTAATTTCTATTTTTTTTTTAGTAGAGACAGGGTCTTGCTCTTGCTCAGGCTGGTCTTGGACTCCTGAGCTCAAACGATCTGCCCGCCTCAGCCTCCCAGAGTGTCAGGATTACAGGTGTGAGCCACCATGTCCGGCCTAGATTATTTATTTTAAATCTTTTTCTTATTTAGTATAAACATCTAGAACCTTAAGTTTCCCTTTAATTCCTGCTTTAGTTACATCATATAGACTGCGATATGTTGCCTTTTAATTATTATCCAGATCAAAATATTTTCTTATTTCCCTTTTAATTTTTTCTTTCAGGTACAGTTTATTTAGAAGTGTGTTATTTATTTTCAAAATATTTGGGGATTTTCCAGATCTTTGTTACTAATTTCTAATTTTATTCCATGTGATCAGAGAAAAGTCCCTATATGATTTCAATACTTTTAAATTTATTGAGACATGTTTTATGGCTCAGCAAATAATCTTGGTGAATGTTTCTTATTCATTTAAAAAGAATATGTATTCTGCAGTTGCTGTATTATTCTATAAATATTAATGAGGTTGAGTAGGTTTATAGCATTATTCAAGTCTTCTTTATCCTTACTGATTTTCTGTCCTATTGTACAATTAATTTCTCACAGAAAAGTACTGAAATTTCCAACTATAACTGTGTATTTGTCTATTTCTCCCTTCAATTCTGACAGTTTTTGCTTCATGTATTTGAGGGTCTGTTATTAGGTGTATCTACATTTAGGATTTTTATGTCTTCTTGAACTGACTCTTACCAGTATGAAATATCTCTTTATCTCTGGTAATACTCCTTGTTCTGAAGACTACTTTGTCTAATAATAGTAAAGCCAGTCCAACCTCATCCTAGAAATTTTCATGCACATAATGAGGACAGTAGCTAAATCTCATTAACAAAACATAAATGGTTTAAAACCCATTGCTCGCTAACTTATTGAAATAATCTCTGATTAAGAATGTAAGTGTATATATAATTAGTTCATGCACTGACCTCATCAATAAAAGGTATTAATACTACAGCTTCCCATTCCTGTTGTTTCCCATTTAGGTCAGTTTTAAAATCAGGTGGATAATATTCTATAATTGGAGAGTCTTCACTGGTCATCAAATGCTGTGAAAATATGAAATAGTGTTAAAGAAATATAAGAACTAACATCAGTGTAGCTTTTTGTTAATTTATTTATATTTCCTCACATTACAGTTTAAAATTTCTAAGTAAAGCAAACTAAAGTTTTATATCTTAGATATGTTGCAATATACTTGCTATGTTTTGATTTTCAACTAGAACAATTCTAACTTTATTGCTACTCATCGTTTCCCTATTTTACTGACATAGTTATATAGCAAAACCACCTTTACTTTGAACATTAATTTTGCTATTACTTTTTATTGTCTTTTCACCCTATAAGACCCACGACCTAAATTGTTTTCTTCTTCAGACTTCATTTCACAGGCTTCTAAAAGTCCTCCATTTTTTAACTCAAATTAACAAGTTGCCTTTATGTCCTAATAAACTATATTAAGTAAAATAACAACTGTTGTCTAAGGCTGTGGTCCCCAACCTCCAGGCCACAGACTGGTACTGGTTCGTAGCCTGTTAGGAACCAGGCCGCACAGTAGAAGGTGAGCGAGTGAAGCTTCATCTGTATTTGCAGCTGCTCCCCATCCCTTGCATCACCACCTGAGCTCTGCCCGCCTCCATCCTGTCTGTGGAAGAATTGTCTTCCATGAAACTGGTCCCTGGTGCCAAAAAGGTTGGGGACTGTTGATCTAAGGTAATTTAAAAAGAAAAAGAAAATCCTAAAATCTCAAGAACCACTGCACCATGACTATCAAAGAGAAACAGTCTGTAACGCATCTTTTTATTAGAGTTTTATAAGAGAGGTAGACAAAGAAAGCATAAGGATGTCTTCTAGAAAATGAACATTGAAGATACAAAATTTTTAAAACCCAGCACATTCTCAGGGTGATACTCAAAATATTTGATAAACAGTATGGCATGGGCAGTGAGCAATTAAAACAGATGTGGCTGTAAAATACTTGCATGGTCATAGTGGTCCAGAGTGGTTGAATATCAAAGCTTAACATAATTGAAGGCAGGAAAAATAGCATCAAAGAAACTTAAGAAAAGAAAAAAGGGACACCAGGATCAAGGATAGATTAAGTTTCAGAAAGATGAAGAAAGGAGCCTGACACCATTAAAGTAGCAAAGGGTATGTGTGGTGTGTCTACTCCAATTCCTGGCACCAGACCATGGAATTATTATAAAAGAACAGAATGATACCCTAGAAGGACTAAGTAAAGTTTACTTTCAGAATCACCTTAGTAGGCATAGTGTAATTTTGGTGACCATATCACCCCTGAAATATCTTCTTCCTATTATGTGAAATATGTTAACCAAAGAAAGGTCTTTCATTTCACAATCTGATAAATGAAATACTTAAAATCCAAATACATTCTAAGGTAATACTGCATTTAGATAAATGACTTATTAGAATCATTACTATTCTAAAAGGAAGGAATAAAAGAGAAGAGGAATGAACCTGCAAATGTTTGGACAAAGTAGACAGTTTTAGATTTTGGCTGTTTTCGTTTACTGTTTTCAGTGCAGAGACAAACTGTGCTGAAAATGAAGCTAGGTTCTCAATGGTTTATGGAATTTCTTTGCTTTTTTTTTTTTTTTTGAGACAGAATCTCACTCTTTTTGCCCAGGCTAGAGTGAGTGCCATGGTGTCAGCCTAGCTCACAGCAACCTCAAACTCCTGGGCTCAAGCAATCCTTCTGCCTCAGCCTCCCAAGTAGGCTGGGACTACAGGCACGCACCACCATGCTTGGCTAATTTTTTTTTTCTATATATTTTTAGTTGTCCGATTAATTTCTTTCTATTTTTAGTAGAGACGGGGGTCTCACTCTTGCTCAGGCTGGTCTCGAACTCCTGAGCTCAGACAATCCACCCGCCTCGGCCTCCCAGAGTGCTAGGATTACAGCCGTGAGCCACCGTGCCCGGCCTCTTTGCATTTTTAAAACAAAGCTAACTTTAAATCAAGGAATTACTTTTCAAGGGACCTGTTAAAGAAATACTATATTTAAAACTAAAATAAATATATTTAGCTATTAAATTATTTGACGTATTACTGTTTCTAGGTTTGCCAGAGGAGCTCCCAAATTTCAAAAAGGACATAAAAACATTCAATTCTAAAACCCACCTGGTAGCATATAGGAAGTAAGTTTTTGCTGGCTGCTGGAAGTACAGCAAGAAGCTGTTCGAAGGGCTTAAAAGGTTTTCCTAGTTCAAAATGTATTTTGAGTGTACTGATGTTGTGGATATCGGACAGGAATGGTGCATAATGATAAGGATAATACCTATAAAACAAAACTGAGTTTTAAACAACTGCAACTTTATGAAACAGGTCAATATTAAGCATATACTTTTTTTCATATTTTATTTTAACAACACACAGCAATAATTTTAAAGAAAAATAAAGTACCACCCATAATTTTACCATTTGAATATAAGAAATAAGTGTTGTTGGAAAATTTAGGTCATGTGATGGCAACAAATATTATATTTCCTTAACTTTTAAAGTGCAGTTTCACATTTCTAAAATTGAGATGTATCAGGTAATTGAAGGATACATATAATATAATGCTTTTTAGTTCCCCAAATGTTGATTGTGAACCTTCCAATTAATAGATTGGACCAGAAGTAATAGGTAGTCAGAAAAGTTTCGGTTTGTTCACTTGAGCCTGGGTCTGGTAAGCAAGGGGCTGGGAACAGCTGAATGTTCCCATAAAAGCACTAATCAGTTCACAAGGAGAGCGAGAATCCAGTTCACAAGGAGAGCGAGAATCGTGAGTCTGAGCTTGTACGGCCATTACCAGTCAGCTCTAAGAACTTTTTACCTTTGAATTAGTATGCATATTATTCTATTTGTGATAAGGATTAAACTATGTATCAATCACACCCACTAATTGTTTTTGTTTTGAATACCTTCCCATCTTTAACTACAGGCATAAATATTTCCACAAAGCTTTGAAAAATTTTAAAAATTTTTAAAAATTTCAATACGCTCTTAATGTTTGACTGAGGATACCAAAAAATTGAAGAAATGTTTTTATATTCCATAATTATAGTATACATTTCAAGACAATGGGGAAATTTAGGAGGCAGAATGGCATATGGAACAGAAAATATACAGACTTTGGAATCAGATAGGCTTAAACTTGATTCTTAGGTATACAATCTTTAGGAAGATTACTTAACCCTTCTGCGCCTCAATTTCTTTATCCAAAAAAGGGAGAAAACAATGAACAATGTTTACTTCAAATAGTTGTGAAGATTATATGGGAACATGCTTTTGAGTGCCTGGCCTTAATGCCTAGTAATACAACAGGAATAACTTACATTCATCCTCTTAAAAAAATGGCAAATCAAGGATTTTCTTCATTAGATTGTTCTTCAAAGGGGCCCTGAGAATCAGGTTAGTGATTGTAAAAATTTTTTTTCAAAGGCTAGTAGTAAGTGAAATCATAATTAAGACTGCATTATTTTGCATTGGTTTGTATTGCTGGATGGCACTCTGAAACAGAGCCTAGCAGAAGTGCTTTGAATAAAACAAAAGAAAACAATATAGAGCTATGTTATCACCTAAAAGCCTTTATTATTCACTGTATCTTTTTTTGGTTTGTTATTTTTCTATTTTGTTGAACAGTTTAGCAATCTAGGTAGAATTTGCTGGAATAGGAAACATGAGAGAAATTGAGAACTATTACTATTTTCAGTAAAAGCAAATAATTCCTTTCTCCTTTCTTCTTCACCCCTTTAGCCTAACATACAAATAGCCCATTTTTCAATAATTATTCTTTTTTTTTTTTTTTTTTTTGAGACAGAGTCTCACTCTGTTGCCCAAGCTAGAGTGCCGTGGCATCAGCCTAGCTCACAGCAACCTCAAACTCCTGGGCTCAAGCAATCCTTCTGCCTCAGCCTCCCGAGTAGCTGGGACTACAGGCATGTGCCACCATGCCCGGCTAATTTTTTCTATATATTTTTAGTTGTCCAATTAATTTCTTTCTGTTTTTAGTAGAGACGGGGTCTTGCTCTTGCTCAGGCTGGTCTCGAACTCCTGAGCTCAAACAATCCGCCCGCCTCGGCCTCCCAGAGTGCTAGGATTACAGGCGTGAGCCACTGCGCCCGGCCTCAATAATTATTCTTGATAAAGAATTTTTTGCAAACAAAAAATGTAGAGACAATATAATGAACACCCACACATAGCCATCACCCAGACACAATAATTATTAAGACTTTGTCACGCTCAAGTCATCTCCATAGAAAATTGTAAATCCTTAGATTAACAAGGACCTTTTATTATGGGCCATCTGCTAGGGCTGGAAGTATCTTTGTTAGACAAAAGTCTTTAAGTATTTTGATTTAATAGATTACCTGTATTTCATTTAAACTTGGTTGTATGAATCTTTATAAAAAATTACCATAAGAAGAAATAAAAGTAAAAGAGACCCCTGAATGAGATTCTAGTAGAATGAACCATTATAAAAATACAAAACTTTATTTTTGCTTTTATCTCTCACCAGCTCCAGGACTGAACTCCATGATAGTAATAGTGCAAAATCCACTGTATTGCCTGAACATAACATGCAGCTTGATCAGCGAGAAAGTCACTGAAAATAGAAAGGAATATTTTCATTGTAACATTAGTTTGAAGACAGGTCAGTGTCGTTAGAGCACATCTGCTGATATAACATTTTACCTCACATGGTTTATTTAATCAATGAATTAGCTAAAAATTATAATTAGAAAAATTCCAGGCCAGGTGTGGTGGCTCACGTGTGTAACACTAGCACTCTGGGAGGCCAAGGAGGGAGGATTGCTTGAGGTCAAGAGTTTGAGACCAGCCTGAGGGAGGGTGAGACTCCATCTCTACTAAAAACAGAAAAAATTAGCCAGGAGTGGTGGTGTGCACTTGTAGTCCCAGCTACCTGGGAGGCTGAGGCAGGAGTATTGTTTGAGCCCAGGAGTTTGAGGCTGCTGTGAGCTAGGCTGATACCACACCACTCTAGCCCAGGTAAGAGAGTGAGACTCTATCTCAAAAAAAAAAAAAAAAAAAAAAAGAAAGAAAGAAAAGAAAAAGAAAAATTCCAAAATATTATTTTAAAAAATTCCATCCTGTAACATGAAAGGTTTGCTTTATCATTTTCCTAAAATAACTATTGAAATAGTTAAACCTGACATGCATATTTACTCAGTTAATGTGCTACACCTTTGGTTTAAAGTTTGAAGATTTACCCAATGAAGCTCTCTACATAAAGTGAGAGTACGACTCTCTTAAATAGTGGGGGTGGGATTGTAGGGAGGTATGGAAATCTTCTTTATCTGGGAAGATACCTAGGAGAAGCAAAGGAGCAAATCAGGAAGATCTTAAAATCTGGTTATAGAAGCTTAGAACACTTTTTGAAAGGTGCTATATCTTTGTTTTTTTTTTTTTTTTAGATACCCATAAGCTGTTCTGAAAAGTGTTCCACCTGCTGAACAATATTCCCTCTAATCCCTTCTTTCTGAAAAACCAAACGCCATCATTTAAAGTTCGGGTAACATAAATCTTCAAATCACCAAAAAAAAACCAACCAAGCAAACAAAACCCAAAACCAAAAAAACCCTAGGATAAAGCCAAAAAAAATCCAAATTTCTGGGAGATATGCTTTTGAACATGAAGTATATTACTGTTTTTATTATAAAAGAAATATTTCATTACTGAAGGTCTGGATAATCAAGAAAAGCATTTTTATCACATTATAGCAACACTGTATGTTTCTTTTTTCTATATTCAGATTGGTTTTTTTCAACTATTAATGAGAGTATACTACATGTATGATTTTGTGTCCTGCCTTTAAAAATCTGTACTTAATAACATGCTATAAACATCTTTCCAAATTGTTATTAACTTTCTGCAAGTATCAATTTAGCAGTTCTGTAGATTCTGGACATGGTGGAGTTCACAAAGATCGTGATAGTGATGATGAAGCTAAGGCCAATTATGATGAGCCTTCTTATTGGACATTTATGTTATTTTTAATTTTTTACTATTATAAATAAATTTGTCATAGACATCCTTGTATATAAGGATCATTTTCTCTGTGGACATCTTTATCATAGGAATATGATATATATCAGAATTAATATCACCTTCTCCAAAACCATACTAATTGAAAGATCTATCATAATTTATGAAACCAAAAAATCCTTTCCTCCCACTACTTTATTAAAATTATGCTGTTTTCTGAAGAACTGTACAATCTAATTTTCACTACTTTAAAGTAAAAGCATTGGCAAAAACGTACTCAGACACTACGTCAACCCCCATCTTCGTCATGTAATATGTCCTTTTATATTGCCTAAATTCAGTTTCAAATAGGTCATCATCTTCAGTCTCATCTTCTAAATTATCTGGGAAAAAAGCGAGAAAGATAGTGACTGACAATTATAAATATCCTGTTTTGCCACCTAATGCTTTGATAAATGCATATCAAAGTTGATGCTTATTAAGTTATCATAGAAATCTGTTTAACCCAACATTACTAAATTAGTACTAATAAATAAAAAGGTATAACAACTATTCTGTCAAAATAAAAACTTACCAAAATACAGTTTGTACTCACCCTTAGAAGTCACCACTTCACCTTCATTTTTGTCTAAAGCAGCCCAACATATAGAATTTTCTTGGCCCTATAAAAATTGTAAATCAACATAAAATGAATGGCAAGATACATTTCAAAGTGAAAAGTTAGCAGGGGGATTTTAAAAATACTAAAAATAATTGCAATGATCCTTAAGACACACTCTGTAAAAGCTTATTTAAAAAAAATCTTTAAATAATGTATAAATGTTTTTATTTCTCACTTGTTTCATAAAGCTATACATTTTGATTACGTAGAATTTAGTATTCAGGCCCTTCAAAGATCTGTAAGTAATCCTCACCAATATAAAGAAAAAAATATATAATTATATATGTGCTCTAAAGAAAAAATACTTCAAGAGTATTTCATTTCTTTAGAGACAAGTACACAATATCAAGTCTTTTTCTCATTTATCAATTTTAACATTTTTATATGTCAAATTCTGGGCTACTGTTCACATAATTTGTTGGTTTATGCTTGAATTAAATGGTTACAAATGTTACCTATTTTCTGTACCTCTGGATACCATCATTCTTTTTTTTTTTCCCTGAGGCAGGGTCTTGCTCTGTTGCCCTACCTAGAGTGCAGTGGTGTCATAATAGCTCACTGCAACCTCAAACTCCTGGGCTCAAGCGATCCTCCTGCCTCAGCCTCCCAAGTAACTGGGACTACAGGCACGAGCCACCACGCCTGGCTAAAGCTTTTCTATAGTTCTTCCATCTTACAACATCCTTCAGACTTGCCCATCTGTTTTTCCTCCCTTGTGATCTCAATCCTTTCCTTCTCTATGCTATGATTGCCAGTCTACAGCCAATGACTCCCTTTAGTTCTTCCTGTTCACTTATCCCCATTACCTTTTCTTCATCCAACCTATTACCTCATTCAACTTCCTGTGCCTGGGCTATTCCCGCATAGTGTCTCTTATGTTAGCTATATATAGCTGGAAGGCTGGTAAAGTTCAAGGACTGAGCTGAGGTGTGAGAAGCCAGGGATTATTGACCTGTAAGTTTTCTGGTACAGGTTCCCAAAAAGTTGCAGAGCATGTTTTCTTAGAAAAGAAAAACAGAATGCAGACTGACTGCTGCCAAGTTCCACTGAGGAAGAGCTAAGTAATTAGAAGCAGTATGCTGGAGAAAACCAGAATAGTTGCCCCTCCTGGCAAGATTTATTAGGTTTGAAACTAAATAGAACCAGCACAGCAAAGATAGCCCAGGAAACTCATCAAAATCCAACAATTATGAATAGGCTGAGGAAATTTTCAGAAGAGGTTTATTTTTCAAGCTAATACAAGACATTCTTTGGAGCTTACTAGAGATGTTTTGCAGGGCACCAACATATTCTAATTGATTTTTATTATTTATTTATTAAGCACATAACATTTACTAGATATTGTGCTATTAATTACTTTTAACCCAGTCTATTGTATTTTATATGACTTTATATATAAATCATTTCTAGAGAAAAATCACTGATCTAGTTAATGCTCATAACATGAAATGCTATAAATATCCACATTTAAGAAACTAGTCCATTGTTTTAAAATAACATGTTTTAAATAATTGTTTTAAAAAGATAACTAATATCTGGGATCTTATATTTAGAAATGTTTTCTACTTTTATTAATAGAATGGAAGAGCAAAGAAAATACAATGTTCTTTAAGGGTAAAAATAAGAAATTGATTTTTAAAGATCAGATTTAAATTATAGAATCTAATAGAGAAAAAGAAGCCAAAACAATTTCTTCAATGCCTATAGAGAAGAAGAAACAAAAATGAAATGAGGCAATCCCAAAATCATAAGAAGGAAAATGAGAAACAAGGAATATCAGTTTTACCTTTACAGCTAAAAAAATGAAAGGACACCTAAAAAAATGAACACCTTTGATTTTTTCTTTTCCTTGCAGTTCTTGGCTTCTTCTGCTGCGACACCTGCTGCTTCATTGAGGTACTTGTTACCAACTTTGCTTTCAAACCACTTTAGGTCCACAAAAACTTCACTGAAGTGTTCCCGATCAAACTGTACAGAAATATTTAAATTCATTTAAATATAATTTAAGTCTGTCTAGAAAAACAAATCAAACTTTTAACAGTGACTACTTCTAGGGCAGAGGAAATTGAAGAATGTTATTGTTTTATATACATGGGCACCTCATTTGTTACTCTGAAAATTACAAATCAGCAAATAAAAATAAAATTAATTTAGGTGCAACTATTTATCCTGAATGAGCAATTGGAATAGAATTATAAAACCCTTTCTTCTGGCATTGTACAACTGGTTACTGACCATTTACAGCTACCCTGGACAGGAAAACCAAAACTGCTAGTTACTTACATCTGATAGTTTCACAAGGTATTTCTCAAATCGAGGTAAGTTGAGATGCCCACTTTCATTAATATAACCTAAAAGAAATAAAATCTAAATTTGTAGTAAAATCTGACAATATTTTTTCCAAACAATTCTACAAAATTCTTCCTACAAAACGTTGACTATTAATATTCTACAGCACTAATCAAGAAAAACACTCAATGTTGGGCTAAATATAAACTGATCCTAGTTTCTATCAACTTTATGCTACCATAATATGCAAAATATAAGAAATCCCAGGTTCACAATAACAACCCTCCCACATTCCCAATGACATTTGGTAATAATATGTTCTAGAACCTATCTAGATCATTCAATTTGGTATGTTAACTTAATAAAAGGACTAATGTCCTGCCATTCTGTTGCCTGTTTTATTCAGTGTCAACACTGCTTGTCAATTTTCCATTTTAACTGAAAACTCTTTCCTTCATATTAAATACTCTCATGCATATCCTTTCAGAAAAACTGAATTTCTATATTTAAATATGAAGGGAGTTAAGTGAAGTCAACAAGTTCTGCTGGCTTTCTTAAGGAACTAGAGGCACAGATTAAATAGGCATCAATAAGTGAGATTGCTTAACTCTGTTCTCTTTCTTCTCTTGTGAATCACATGAAAATGACAGCCTCAGAGTTTGGCACCTTAGACCAAAAGAAACCCCCAATATTTTTCTACTTTAGTCATACATGCAATAATCTAATGAACTGAGTGACATTTTTAGGGTGAGTCAGTGCCAAATTATTAACAAAAAGTAGCCTCAAGTGAATATTAAATTTTTCTTACCCCCAAGTTCTGGTAGGATGGTAATATATGTTCCATAAAGAAGAGGCAGTGCATCATGATTAATATGTAAATGAGGTAGATGAGGGATGAAATCGTTGCCGACAAGAAATCCCATCAAAATCCAATCATCTATTATCCTTTCAATATCATATTTAAATGTGATCCTTTCCTACAGTAAGATGCAAAGTCAAATCCAATGGAAATTTCTCCATATAAATCTTTCAACTAGGCCTATATTAATACTTACTTTTAGTACTGAAAACTCATAGTCAATATACTCTCTCATTAAAGACAAGTGTAGGAGGTGAAATGTCGTTTCTTCTGGTGCACATACCCTGTAATTAGTCAGATGATCATGACAGAGTAAATAATATTTTTAAGGTCCAAGTTTAAAAATGTATCAAAGCTTAAATCAAAATTATCATTGGGAGATAATAAGTCTTATAATGAAGGCATGTAATTTATATGAAAGTTATAGGATAATATAAAGATAAAAATATAATTGCAAGTATAATAGATAAACCATGATAAAGTTCAAAAATAATTGGTTTACATTATGCTTTCTATGGAAGGATTATCAGAGTTAAGAAGCCCTAAATACTAAAGAATTATCTTTCTATGGTCTGTTGGCCATTTCAGAACTTTGGAAATGTAATGGTCAATTCATTAGAAAGAAACATCTGAGTCATTGGCAATAGATGTAGTCTTAATACCGGGGTTCCAAAATATCCATGAAATATTTATATTTATCTCGAGATCCCTGATTTTAAGTTATTCGTTAGAACTGTAATGTTGTTAAATCTTAATTATAATCCCCCCAAATTACTGTGCGTTTTCAACCAAAATAAAAGGATGATTCTACACTATGAAAAAAAAAAAAAAAGAAGCCCTAAATAATATATATTATATACATATATATACACACACACATACATACACACACACACACATAAAACCAGTGAGATCTGGCCCATTTAAGGTTGGCCATGAGCAGACACACAAATGAGTGAGTATATACTTTTATATCTATTGCAGTATAGTTTAGAGTTATACGGTAAGGTAATATCCCTTCTTCCTCTTGTCTTCCTACGGATTGGTATACGGTCCTATATTCCCAGGTGTTGGCCTATACTCCAAGTTTAACTACAAGTAAGAATATAAGGGGATAATAGCACATTGAAAGAATTATATACCATGCACAAGTGAGATTTATCCCAGGAATGTAAGGGTAGTTCAATATAAGAGAATCAATGTAATACACTACATCAGTAGAATGAAGGGGGGAAAAAACATCCCACATTATCATTTTGCAGAAAAAGCATTTGACAATATTCCACACTTTCATGAAAAAAATATTCATCGAACTAGGAATAGAAGGGAACTTCCTTAGTATGATAAAGGGCATTTATGAAAACCCATAGCTAACACCATACTTAACTATGAAAAACTAAAAACCTCTCCTCCTAAGAGTAGAAACAAGACAAGCATGCCTACTTCACCACAGCTATTCAACACTGTTTTGGAAGTCTTCCCAGAACAATTAGGCAAGAAAAAAGAATAAAAGGCATCTCTATTAGAAAGGAAGAAGTAAAATTGTCTCTATTTACAGATAGCATGATTCTTACATAGAAAAGACCATAGACACCACAAAAATACTACTGGAGTTAAAAAATGAATTCAGCATAGCTGTAGGGTACAACATGAACACACAAAAATCAGTTGTGTTTCCATACAGCATCAAAGAACAATCTAAAAAGGAAATTAAGAAAATGATTCCATTTATAACAGAATAAAGAATACTTAGGAGTAAACCAAGGAGCCAAAAGATTTATACGCTGAAAACTACAAAATGTTGCTGAAATAAATTAAAGAAGGCAAAAATAAATAGAAAGACATTCTGTGTTCGTGGAGTGAAAGACTTAACATCAAGAAATAAATACTGCCCAAAGAGATCTACAGATTCAAAGCCATGCCTATCAAAATCCCAATGATGTTTTTTCACAAAAATGGAAAAACCCATCCTAAAAATTACATGGAATTTCGAGAGACACTGAATAACCAAAACAATCTTGAAGAAGAATAAAGTTAGAGGTCTCACACTTCCTGATTTCAAAACTTACTACAAAGCCACAGTAATCAAAACACTGTAGTATTGGTACAAAGACGGACAAGTAGACCAATGGAATAGAATAGAAAGCTCAGAAGTAAAACCTCCTATATATTGTCGAATGATTTTCAACCGTAAGACCAAAAATTCAATGGAGAAAAGACAGTCTTTTCAACAAATGGCGCTGAGAAGATTGAATATCCATATGCAAAACAATGAATTTGGACCCTTAACCTTGTACCACACACTAAAATTAACTCAAAATGGATCAAAAACCTAAAGATGAAAGTTAAAACTATAAAACTCTTAGAATACAACATAGGAAAAATGCTTTATGACATTGGATTTGGCAAAAATTTCTTGGCTATTACACTGAAAGTACAGGCAACAAAAGAAAAAATTGATGAATTGGATTTTATCAAAATTAAAAACATCTGTGCATCAAAGGACACTATCAACAGAGTAAAAAGGCAACCCATGAAGTATTTACGGACCATGAATTTGTTAAGGAATTAATATCCAGGCTTCATTTCTGTTCTTTTTTCCAACATACATGCTGTATGATTTACCTTTGTGCTTTTTTGCCACCAAATCGAACTTCTTCTCTTAAGAGAGAAAAATGTGCCTCATGAGTTGTTAATCCAAGCATAATCTGTTGAAAATAGTTAAGAAGTGTTTCTATTCTTCCATTTTTTATAATATCAGGTTCACAAAAGCAATTATAAAAATTTCTACACAGAGAATAAACAATTAGCATATTACATATACAAATATCAAAATATGATCCATTTGTAGGTTATTGATGGGATAAAGTGCGTGTACTTATCCAAGTCTTCTCTAAATTGATACCCAGAAGAAGAGGTTAGTAAATGTCCCTAATGTCTTTCAGAACAGTAGCAACTTTTCCATGATAAAAGAATGCAGGACTCTTGGAGGCCAGAATAGCTTCAGTACATAAAAACCCAGGGAAAAACGGAAGAGGGTACTTTCAGTTAATTTTCTCACGTGGTATGCTAAAGCCCAAAGTCAGTCAAAAAAGTCTATTGAAACATACAAACCAATTGCAATGTACCTGTATATTATTTTATTTTTATCTGGATTCAAACAACAAAGCAAAAGGAAACATTTATAAGACAATTAGGGAAATGAGCATAGTAACTGGTTATTTCTATATTAAGCAATGATTGTTAATTTCTGTTTTATGTGGGACAATGGCACTGTTGTTATGTGTTTTTAAAAAAACCCTTCTCATTTAGAGAAACATTATGAAATATGCACAGATTAAATGATATAATGTCTGGGATTTGCTTCAATAATCTTGGGGGGTAGGGATGAAGGAGACAGATGATTAACAATTGGTGTTAAACAATATTTAAGGTAGAAGAAGGGCACAAGGAGGTTCATTATACTGTCTTGCCTATTTTTATTTATGCTTGAAAATTTCCATAATAAAAAGTTAAAAAAAGTCTAGTAAAGGTATTTATAGCATGGAGTTATCAGATCAGGAGGTAATTAAAAATCACGTATAAAGCCTGAGAGTAAAAAAGGACTTTTTCCCTCACCTCAGCAGAGTATTCATAGTACTAGGGTTCATTAGGTCTATGGACTAACTATAGAAACCTGCTGATCACGAACTATGACAAAAAAGCTTATTTTCCAATTATTTTAGAACTTTGGTAATGATAAAAGCAGCAATCATTATGTCTCCAATATTTGCTGCCACAGCCAGTAAGCGTCCTATAGAAAAATGAAGTCTTTTAGATATTTACCTACAATGGCATAAGGTTATAATAAAAATAAATATTATACTTACCAAATCAGCATCTAAACCATAAAGACAGTGTCTGGTGTTTGGATCATGATCTGGCTTTGCTTTCTCAGATCTGATAAATTCCATGATTTTATGCTCTCCTTCTCCAGGAGTCTAAATATAAAGTTTTAAAAAATGTAGCAATATGCTGTGCTTCAGAATATTAAATAAATTTTTTTACAATACTTTTAAATAAAAAAAGGTATTAACCTCATGACCTGAGAAGTAGATGGTAACTCCTTGCCATGACTTGTCTGTGGAAATTTTCATATTTACAAAATACTTCAGATGTTCATGTAACCTGGCCATGAATTCAGTCCCTATAAATAAAAAGTTTTAAAAAGGTTAATCTAAGACAGACATAAAAATAGTGACTTCCCAGTGACAACATATAATTGAATCTGGGTGTCCAGGAAATAGCTAGGGATAGGATCTCTAAAGAAGGTCAAAAGCTCTCTTGCTTATCCTGAAAAGCAAGTAATGTTGTACCTTTCACTTGTAAATATCACAACTGTTTTTATTGTCACTAGTGACCCTAAATGAAATCAGTGTCACACAGGGAAAGTCAAGGAGTTTTACTACTGTCTCAGGACTGTGCATCAAGTATTTTCACATAAGGGCAGAATTTGAACTTTCTAATAGAACCTCAACCTTCTATTTCTTCTTCTGGATTCTAAAGTTTTTTTTTTTAAAGGCATACATCTTCAATCAGATTGTCAATAATAATTATTATTACTATTAGTCTGAAAAATTATTATTAATCTGGAAATTGAGTCTTCAATAATTATATTTTAGGAAAAGCCCAGATGGTCAATAGTCAAAAGCAATACAGTCTAAAACCACATCACGATAAAACTGGTTATTAAATTGAGCAATGTGTGACTAACGTACTTAATGAAAGGGAAACTACCACTGTTAAGTAAAGAATTTATGAGAAAGTTGATTTAAAGATTTCTGTTCAAAGTAAAGGATTATAAAGATGTTAGACAAAGCTCCTAGGAGTATAGAGTATGCTGCTGCATATAAAATTAAACATGACACTGATAAATTCATTTTCCTTAAATTCACAGAAATCTTTTTTTAAAAGCAATCTCAGATGCAAAATCTATTAAAGTCACACAAATCTTAACTATCTTTGAGAGGGAGAGTAGTAAGCTCTCTGGACTAGGAGAACAAGTTTCTTATTCTTAATACCACAAGCTACATGAACTTGGTAAACCACAACTTCACTGAGTCTGTTTTCGTATCAATAAATGGCAGGAATAGGACTGACAGATCTTATAAGTTCCTTCAAGGTTTGGAATTCTGTGTACCTGGGAGATTCTTGTCCATATCTGCTCTTATCAACATTTGAAAACCCTATAGTCTTTATAGGAGCACTTATAACCAGGGTAAGGAAACCATGTCAAAAGTAGACACAAGTGGGAGAATACAGTAAATAGAACCCTAAGGCCAAAATAAGTAAAGCATAAAAATAAAAATAGATTTGAAAAAATATTCAAACATTTTATATTTCAATTCTCTCAGAATTTTTCTCTCAGTGAACGTACCTGGTGTAATACAGTTGGAATCAAATCTGGCCTCTGTAGGAAGAGTTTCTCCCTTCTCTATTGCCTTTTTAATTTTGTCTTCTGCCTCCTTTGCTGACCTTAAATGTTAAGAGAAAAAAAAAAATCTTAAACTTTCTGGAAAAAAGCAAAGATCTTTACATATACTGTTCTTTAGATGTTTTAAAAGTAAAATACTAATTCATCAATTTTAAGGTTTAAAACATATACAAGTTTTGAAATGATTATGACTGACAAAGATGAACCTCAGAATTGTTTGTTTTTATTTAAAAAATTGAGTTTTCCAGGTAAGGACCATAGAAGTAGGACATTACTTAAGAGTAAGAGTAAAAACTCACACAGACCATAATAAACACTTATGAGGGAATTCTTATGACAAATATATGGCAAATTCATTCTAGAAACAAAATCAAAAGTATAGCTTTAAACTTTCATTACATATACTACATTTAATGAAAATATTTAATGGTCTTAAATAATAACATATCATGATACATTTAAGATCATTATCATAAAATGATCTCTAAGACTATTATATAACAATTATAAAATTATAATGTTTATCTTTGTGTTTCCTACTAAAACCTTTTAAAATGAAAGCCTAATAACATTAATGACATCAGTTGACAAAATCATCTCATTTTTGAAGCAATGGAATTTACTAGAAAGAATATGAGTTATAGAGTCAGAGTAACCTGGATTTGAATATAGGTGTCCCGATTCCTGTCTGGCTTCTCCTGTAATCCCTTTATAGCATACCAGTATGCCACATAGCATACAAGTTAGAAAGCTCTGCTTTGAGCAATGTGCCCTGTAGAATTCTATTTCTGTGATGAACAAGCTCTTCATATTTAACCTCTCTCTCACCAACCTTTTTAATATAAAAAAAACTCCGAAAATACCAACTCATTTGTAATCTCTGCAACATATTCTTTCTTCTTTTCTCCCTTTCCTTCTTTGACTGAACAAATGGCTATTTGATGTACGATGTGACAAGGTCTTAGGACACAACAAAAGAGAAATGATTTCTATTCTGAAAGTTTATAGTCTAGTGGGGAGATAAAAATAATTAAATAGCCATAATATTTAATCTGGATGTAATATAGAAAATGTTTGGGACAGGGCCGAGGTTAAGACTATTGAAGTAATCTAGGTGAATAATGGTAGTCTAAGCTGAAGGAGTAATACTAAAGATAAAAGGAGTAGATAGATGTGACAAATTGAAGAGACTGAATAAATAGGACTTGGATGTGGAGAATGAGGAAGAGGGAGGAGTCCATATTACTCTTGGACTTTGGTTTAGGCAGCTAGGTGCATGGTGTTATTTGCTGAAATAGAAAACATAGAAGAAAGGTTGTTTTGAGGGGAAGATAACTTCAGTTCTGAACCTGTTATGCCTGAAGTATAGCTGGGGTATCCAAAAGGAGACGTTCAGTAGGCATTCAGATATACATGAGCTCAGGAGAGAGAGATTTACCAGAAAAATAAATTTGGGAGTCATCAGCACAGACATAGGAATCAAAGCCACTGGATGAAATTGCTCCGTGCCTAGGACAGAACTTTAAGAAACATTAAGAGAAAAAGCGGAAGAAAAGAAAAAGACAAAGAGACTATGAAGGTGCAAAGAGAGAACATGGTTACATGAAAGTGAAGGAAAGGGTTAAGTTCAAGAAATTGTGAATAAATGAAGATAAAGAAAGAATTATTCTTTGGCTTTAGCCATAATCTTGTACTCCTGTAAAGAAATTTTAGTGGCATGGTAGAGATAAAAGAAGGCAGATTTAGAAATGAATAAAACAGGAAGAATTAAGGATTGTGAATAGAGAATGTCATCACTGTGGAGAAAGACAGAAAGCTGACTGGGGAATTTCTGGGAAACATGGAAAACTCAATGCCAGCACAGTACTTAGTAAATGCTTGTGGTGGTTATAGTGGACTGACCCTCAACTTCCTTTCAATTCTCCTTCTAGTTTGCCTTTTGATACTGGAGAGGTTAGAAAGCTAAAAAATAAAATAAAATAAAATAAAACCCTCAGGCTTCCCTACAGCTAGGTTTCTGGATATGACTTAGACTTTGTCAATAGATGCCTCCATAAAAGGTTTGGAAGGTGGAAGTGTGGTGATGCCTGCATGACAGTTGAGACATTGAGGCTCTCGGATGTGTGTATATTTCAACAGTGGTAGAGATGATCCTAGTATTCAGCAGCGTTGTAGGTACTGAGAAGCAAGGAGTAGGGTATCAGTTTTTCCCAGTGTAGATCTAGCAGGTGCACTGGGGCTCTGAAACTAACAGATGCAGTGGTAGCTTCTTGATTGCTGAATTGTAATTAAAGTGATATATCTTAGAGTTAACAGTTAGTAGCTTCTTAATCCCTGGATCACAGCTAAAAGGAGAAAGTTCCTGGAGCCATCTGTTCCGGTGAGGGCCTCTAAACTCCTCACCTATCTGAATATGGTAATAGTACTGACACTGATGCATCAGTTCTGTGGTGGTATTCTGAAAGTCATGCCTGAAGGCTCACCTAGATTACCACTCTTTTGGATTTACAATAATTTTTATAAACATCTAATTCTCTGTATTTATCCTTTCTGCTTAAAATGGCTAAAGTGCTTTCTATTACCTGGAACTGAACCCTGACTGATGCACTGAGTTTATATAATCCTTCTGAACACCAGATTTTCTAGGTTAGTGGCTCCCAAAAAATAGTTTAACTAATACCAGGGAAGTCTGGTAAAAAGTAGTTTTCAGGAGTTTCCCAGCTACTAGAGATTCAGATTAAGTAAATCTTGGGTAGTACTTGAGAATCTAAATTTTAGTAAGAGATGGTCTTTGCCTTCAAGGATTTCAGTCTTTCCAACAGTTTCAGTAACTTTTTTCTTTTGATATTTAAATCAGTACTTTCTGCCATCTGCTTCTTCTCACTGGTAGCCTTTTCCAAGGCATACTCCTACCTCCCTTGGTAATTTCCACATTTGATGCACAGGTACTTTTTCCATTCTTTACCTGCCATTATCATTAAATGATTCATTAAGCTAATGACCTATCAAACACTCTGGACTCAGGGTTTCTTGCCTTCAATTCTAACAACCTTCTTAACTTTACTTCTGCTACTCATAAACAGGGATACAGCCTAATACCATTGTTACTTAGAAATATTTCACATGTCCAGGATTCTGACTTTAAAATCCTGTATGTACAGCCTCTTCTGATCCTTTTACTTCTCCTACTACCTCACATAGTGGTGCTGATAACATCCTGAGAATCCTAACTCAGCTCCCTTCCCACAGTCCATCAATCACCTTCTGATCTCTCTTGCCTTTCTGTCCTATCTGGAGCATGCTCAGTCCAAATCAGATTTAGCCCAGAGTCTAGGCATTCAATGTTTGTTGAATTAAATTAAATGTCAATAATGTGCTCATTAGAATAATCTCTCAGTTCACTTTGTAGTTATCAGCCCAGAGCAGACCACCATAAGAGCTTTTCTCTACTACAATACTACCATTTCCAAATTATTAATGAGAAGTTTAAAAAACTTGTGACAGAGAATAAAAGAGTGACTTTATATAAAACCCAACATATGCTTTGAGAAATGACACTTGAATTACTAACTCGTTACTTGACTGGTAAAATATGAGATATTCCTATTTCTGGGGGAATGTGAGCAGAAAATAAACATGAACAGAATATGCATTGTGCTAAGTTGATTATCTTAAAAATAATATATTTTTTTAATCTAAATAATATGCTAAAATAAAATATAAATGTTTTACCTAAAACGCCTCCCACGCTGCTGGTTCATTTTTGCTCGAGGAGCCACACCATCAACAGCCATAAAGAACACTTTCCTAGGTTTAATAATGCGAAACAACACCTCCAAGTAGTGAAAAATATCAGTAAAGATTTTATCATCTGAAATTCTGAAGTGAACATCATCATCATTAGGATGGGAACACTGATGTATAATTCCATTCATATCTAGGTACAAGTTGTCAAATTCAGGAATCTAAAAAACAAAAGAAAATGCTCAAGTTCATTAATTATAATCAACCACAGATATCTTACCAGCTGGGAAAAGTGATTATTCAATGATAAAAAGCAGGATATAGGGCATTCTGATTATATAAAAACTGAATAAACAATCACAGGTGAATAAAGAAAGTAAAGAAAAAAAGCAGAAGGAATTGGTAATATGGAGACATTACATGGTGATAAAATGCACCAATGGCTTGATCGAATTTACTGTCAGGAAATTATCTACTTAATCAAAATAAGACACCAAATACCAAATAAAATGTTTGGTTCATTTGGTACTCAAAATACTAGTGTCCTTCTTTTCTATTACTTAACATTAACTTCTCAAGACCCAACAATTTCCTCCATAAATGGGTAACATAATGCCCATTTATATGAAAAGGCTGTTTGTACATGGTTACTGAAAGATTTTATGTTATCATTTAAGCCTTATCGTGTATTTAGTTTCACTAAAACAGAGTCACTGATTGGTTACATTAATTTTTAAAAACTTTGATTATGCTAAGAAATTTGGGAAACATTGAAACCTAGAAAACTGATTTGTTTGTGATATGTGTATTAAATACTTTCTAAACTTTGACTAACAGACATCTACTTTTATAAAAGGACCCAATGGTTCTGGCATTCATTTATTTTTCCTTTATTTAAATGTTTGTGAGCAAGTAAGGGGAACGCTACTGAAACAAATACACACTAACAAGGAACTGAAATGGGCGTAACTAAATAGTTATGATATGTACTGTAAGAAAAGAATTTTAAAATAGAGTCTGCCTTACATACTTTGAATTTTCAAACATTAAAACATGACAGGCAATCCTTGTATAAACATAATAAAAACAACTGCTGAAACAGTAATTCAAGTTTTACACCATGTACAGGTAACACATTTTTCTGTTACTGAGAAAATGGCATGCCTTTGAGTTTTAGGGGTGAAAAGTTTTGGTTTTGAATCAATGAACACCACAAAAACACCCATTTGTATAGGAGTGTACTATGTATCACATAAAAAATTTTAAATGTTCTTACTGAGTAACAGATAGAGGCTCAACTGAAATGACAATTATTATGAGATTTCTAAAGTACATTCAAGAGTTACTATTTGTTTCAAGAAATCTGAAAACCTCAATCAAAATCTCAATGTGATTTTTGTGAAGGGAGGCACTTTATAAAATGATCCCAAAGTTTCCCTTGGAGAATAAATATGCAATAATTGCCAGGAAGATGATTAAAAAGAAGAGTAATGAAAGAAAATTTGCCTTAGATGAATTAAAAGTTATAAAACAGACAGTATGGTTGAACCAAATAGTCTGGAATAGTCCAAGTGTATATGGAAATTTAGTATATAAGAAGTATTTCGAATCAGTAAATGAAAGGGATGGGGTACCTACCTAACCATCTGGGAACAAAATAAAACTCCACCTCACCTTCTAACAAAATAAATTCCAGAAGGATTAACATTTTTACTGTGAGAAATGTAACTAAAAAAATTATATACAAATATTTTGATACTTTTAGGGTGGGGAAAGCCAGAAATCATAAAGCAAACAAATGGTAGAGCTGGCTAGCTAAAAATGTGTTATTTTAAATCTAGAGTTAAAAAAAGTGCCATAAACAAATTCAATTGAAAATGACAAAATGCAGGGAAATATTTGTAAATCAGTACACAGTCAATATCCCTAATAACAAAAAATCCTCAAATATAGGAAAAAGCAAAATTTCAAAGTAATCATAGAAAAAGCAAAGCAATTTCAAAAAACAAAGTCTAATAAGCATATGAAAAGATGCTCATCATCTCAAAATTTCAAATTAAAATGATACATCATTTTCCCTACATTAGCAAAGATTGAAGAGACTGATGTTACATAGTATTGGTAAGGTTTGGGGGGGAATGCAGAATTTGTGTTATTAAAAGCAATAGCTGGCATTTATTATGCATTTATTGGTACGAAACATTGAGCTAAATATTTATATTCGTTCTCTCAATTATAACTTTTTTCAGTACATGTGCTGCCGAAGCGAGCATGTAATTATAGCCTTAAAAGATAAATATTTAGCATCCTTAGTTTAGAGAAGAGGAAAGTCACTCAGCTAGAAAAGAAAAATTTATATTCCTAACCCAGTAGTCTGGGATGGGAATATAAATTGGAATAACTAATCTGAAAGTATGTATCAAAATTTGAAAAACATGTATATCTTTGAACCAGGATTTCTACTATTGGAAATTTACCCTGAAAAATAATCAGAAATGATTAACTTACAAAGATGTAAGTACAAAAACTTTCATGGCAGTATTTTTCAGAAAAGATAAAAATAGAAAATTGATGCTGGTACATGCATACAATAGAATATAACAACAGCAGGCCGGGCACAGTGGCTCACGCCTGTAATCCTAGCACTCTGGGAGGTCAAGGCAGGAGGACTGCTTGAGCTCAGGAGTTTGAGACCAGCTTGAGCAAGAGCAAGACCCTGTCTCTTCTGAAAACAAAAAAAATTAGCTAGGCATGGTGGAGCATGCCTGTAGTCCCAGCTACTCAGGAGGCTGAGGCAGGAGGATCACTTGAGTCCAGGAGTTTGAGGTTGCTGTGAGCTAGGCTGATGCCATGGCACTCTAGCCTGGGCAAGAAAGCAAGACCCTGTCTCAAAAAAAAAAACAAAGAATATAACACAGCAATTAAAATTATTATATATATTCATATTTGGCATGGAATGTGTATAATATGTATGGTTAAGTAATAAAAGTAAGGTATAAGACAGAAGCTATATTATTATCCTGTTTATGGAAAATATTTATTTACATGTGTATTTATTTGTATAGAAAAGTTAGGAAGTATACAGAAACAAGATGTTACTAGTGGTTAACCCTGGATAGTGAAATTTCAGTTGCTTTCTATTTTCCTTTAGACTATAATAGTTTTTATCTTTCTGTATTATCTAAATATTTTTCTCATGAACACATTAATATGTTTTTTATAATCTAAAAACCCCATTATAATTTTCCTTTTAGAAAAGGATAATTTTAAACATTTTCTTAGGTTTCAGTTAGTAAGACACAGAATGATTAAGTAATCACTGACCAATGCGCCGAAAAAAGTGAGAACACGCAGAATTTTTACGACTATACAGAGACAATACTGATAATGCAGTTTCTCTTCCCAGAGTTCTTATTATACATCTGTAAGTTAGTAATTTCAAGACTATTTTATGCTCTCCTCCTCCTCTATCCCCATATCTAATTAGTCAATGAGGTATTTTATTTTTTAACTTAACATCTAATATGTTTCTGGAATCTTACCATCTTATCCATTCCCATTGTCTTAAGCAATCTCATCTTTTTCTCCATCCCTAGATCTCCTGCATTGGTTCATGCCCTCAGTTTTCCAACTGGACTGCTTGCTTACAGTTTTCTGTCTCCCCACAGCTGAGCCAAATCTGATTGTGTTGCTTCCTTACTTAAACCCACAGGATACTACAAATTTGTAACACCATAGAAGGTCCTGCATGATTTGGCTGCCATGTTTCCCACGAATCCCGTATTCTTTCCTGTTTCTACATATACAAGCTAACTATAGTAAATTACTTGGAAAGCTCTAAATGTGCTGGCCTGTTTCAAACCTCTGCGACTTTACAGATGCTACTTCTACTTCCTGAAATGCCTTCCTGTCCTTCCTGCTCCTCCCTCTACTGACCTTCTGGATTTTGACTCACTCTTCTTCAAGATCCACCTCAACAATCTTTGGCTTTCCCTTACTTCCTTATGCTGTATCTTGCACATATCACTCTTACTTCACTTAATAAAGCAATTAAACATCCTCTGAATGTAAGCTTTTGCCATTTCTGTTTTTCAAATCTGTCTTAAGAGTTAGCATCTTGAAGGCAGGAACCATATTTTATTTTTGTGTTCTCAATGCACGTGAGTACCTGGCATATTATTAGGTGTTCAATACATTTTTGCTGAATGCTTAAGTGTATGTATCTGTCCTCCCCTGCTAACCTGTGCGTCCCTCAAAGCAAGGTCTCTGATTTGGTTGTTTAGAACCCTCAGTACACTGCCTGACACAACGTAGCAAATCAAAAATATTTAATGAATAAATTAATAAACAAATGAAGTCTCCCTTCATTGAATATGATTAACACATGTATCCTATACCAGTAACTTGGAATATGTGCTTATAGGAGGTCTGTCCAGAAAGTATCCAGCCATGTAATATGAAAAATAGAGACATTTATTGAAGAAGATACATGAAACATTGTACGTAGGACAATGATGCCTCAGTTCCCTTCAAAGTAGGCACCTTGGGACCTCACACAGTTCTCTCAGCATCTCTTAACCTAATCCGTCTGTATATGCTCAACACTCTCAGGTGTTCTGCTTGCTGTAGGCCTTCCAGAATGAGGATCACTTTCAACAGAATCCTGACCATCTTTGAAGTGTCTGTGCCACACTTATTTGCGCTGTACTCATTGCATTGTCCCCAAAAGCCTTCTAAATCATCTGAATAGTTTCCACTGAGGAAATGTTCAAGCTTAATGCAAAATTTGATGCAGATTTGTTGCTCTACTCGCTCAGTTATTTTGAATGTGATGGCCACACAGTACACATGCTCACTCAATGGTGTCTAGCAATCCACTGACTAGTACAGTGAAGGCGTCATTGCTTACACATGCGCATTACAGTGCACTTTCCTTGGCTGCTCGGATACACTGATGTCTCCATGTCTCACAAACCCTTCTTGTTATATTAACAATGGCTGGATACTTTCTGGACAGCCTTCACAGCACTCTTATTGCTTTAAATTGTGATTAAGTATTAATATCTTAGTGTCTAATCTCCCGATGTCAGTTTCTTTTTGTTAGTCTTTTTATCCCACTTAATGTTGTTTCAAGATGCCCTTTACATAAAGACAAACAATATATATTTGACTGATTACAAGAGCTGTCAATAATTCTTTTCCAGTTAATACTATTTAAACA